AAACTTCAACTTCAGTGGATCAATCAGCATTTTCTGACACAGGTGAAAGAATCAAAGCCTACCTTCTGATATATTTCCTTTAGGGGAGTTTTAGGTGTTACCTGGTTAGACTCATGAGGAATGAGGGCAAGCAAAAAGTGTTCTTTAGCTGACTGAGATCAGAAAAGTGTCACATTACAACATTATTACCTCTCTTATAAAACCAAAGACCAGAGAATAAAGGTTTTATAAGTCATCCTTAGACTGATCTCAGTAATATGTTTTTCCTTACTGCGTCGAGGTGAAGAGCAAATAACATATAACAATACACAAACCCTCTTCAGCAGCCACACTATACAGTCAGAGCTCCCTTTGGTAATGGAGCAAGCTCCTCGCCTGCCAGGTGTAGATATCTGACAGACTGAAATCCTGTCTGGATTAAACGGGTAGAGGCAAGGTTTATGAGGGAGCAGAACTCATGGTGTAGTTGAGACATTACAAGGAAAAGTACTTGATAAATATTTGATTTTATAAATCTATAATTTGTAGCCAGACTGTTATTTTCTGCCCTGCCAGCAGCCTCTCTGGTTTGTCAGCAAAACAAGACATCTTTATTATGACATAACACTGATCACCAGTCTTGTGTCTCTTATGTAACCTCAGAGGCTGTGGCTAAACCACGGCCTGTGTGACGGGCAAGGCCTGGAGCCTGGTGGAATGCCCTACAGGGGGAACCAGGAGAGGATGGAAGGATTGGGCCTGAGACAGGGCTAAAGAAAAAATGATGATGTAGAATGACAGAGAGAGAGAGAGATAAGGGGATAGGAAAACTTTGGGTATAGAGGAGGTTCAAAGAGGAAGAGGTGAAGCCAGAAAAGGGAGAGGGTATGATAGAGAACCCCTTTGTCTCTTTCAACCTCGCAGCCCTCCATTCTAAGAACTTTACTTTCCAGAACTTTCTCTTAATCCCTCATGCCTTTGGGCTTTTATTATTTTTCTAAAGAGCGCAGCGAGGAGAGAGAAAATCCTCCCTATTATATAAATCTGCGGTTCAGAGACAGATTACTGGCATATGCAGCTTCAGCAACTTTGAGTATTGAATGTAATAGAGTGTGTTGCAGTTCACAGTATATCCTGACACCTAGTGCACATATAAGGTAGCACATGCTTGGTCCTGAAAGGCGCCTGACCAGAAATGTGTTTTACTAGTGGTGGTGGTTTCTTCCATCGTCTTGCTTGATACATTCTTTGACAACATAACAGAGGTAGAATCCAGGAGGTCAGTTTTCTGCAGGCAGTGCCTTAACTGCTTCCTTACATGTGCACTTGAAGAAATAATCTCCTCAGAAACTTTCACACAATTGTATATTGTCAGTTTGCAAAGTGCAATGCATGGAATGCAATGTGCAACCCTTTGCATCCTTAATTTAGCACTGGATGTGGTAGAGAAGATAATATTTCTGCCATTTTGGATTTCTCCCTCTGACTACTATAACATCTGAGCATAGTGGAGAGTCTAGAAGCAAGCCTTAACATGGGGGAGGCAAAGCATTGATGTTGGAGTGAATCCTTGAAAAATGTCTAGAATGCAAGGTAACATTTTTCTCGGGATGTGTTTATATTTCATCGGTAGGTAACTCGAACTGAAATGCATAGGGCAAGGTGTCGCACACCAGTGCTTTTATCAGTACAAACCCAAATTAGCCCATACCACTCAAAAACTGTACTAAAGGTATCACCTCTTTGACCTGATCAGATAGTTTAGACTGTATTTTATACTTGCATGTCATCTTGTGTTAAAATGCATTTCACATCCGACAACTTTGTCTTTGTTTGTTAAATAAAAGGGTTTTGCAGTGTTATAAGGCATTATTGCAGTTTTATAATATTTTTGAATCGATGTCATGAAGTACATTTATTTGTCAGGTATTTAGCTTGGTAGTTCAGCCCAAAACAGATATTCATATCTGATTGTATATCAAGAGAATAAATCAATCGAATATTCTCAGCTGCCCAAAGGCTAACGGTAGACGGTGCTTCTCTCAAGTCTGTAAGTATGTGTGAAACATTGCCAAAAAAGAACTCGGTCAACTTTTACAGAATAAGTTAAGTAAAGTGACTGTCAGTAGTACCATAGAATATTAATGCTGTTCATGGGGTCATGTTCCCTCAAATGGATGTTGATAGCTGTAATACTGTCTTTCCTTTCTGTGCCATCCTTATCTTTTCCGGCTTCTCATTTGTTGAGTACTTCCTGTGTGTCTGGTTTATTAGACACCTATGTGCATGGAAAGGGGTGTGGTCAGTGGTGGAGTCTGACTGTTACAAGTCAAGGCTGTTATATTTTCATGTACGTGCCAAAGAAGACATGACACGATAAGCTGCTGACTTGACACATGTTGACCAGTTATCAGTGATCTTCAGGAAGGCAGAGGTGATGTCAGGAGGCTTGTGGGACCAGTTCTGCTGTCACCAGTTACCTCACACTGCGCTGCGTTTAAATTCCCTTTGCATATAGCATTCAGCTGTAATTGCTCCCCTGACACACGGATAAATCTTCTCGACAGTTGTTTCAGCATTGGTGACTCCTCTAACAGCTTTAATCAATACCTTTCTAAGTATGGCAGGGCGCTGTGCTTTCTGTTAAGGTACTCAAGCTATTAGCCTTTATGCAGAGATATATATATATATATATGCATGCTCTTCTTTGCAGTTTTTGGGTCTGGATAATTTCTTTTATGTCATTGCCATTAACAAAATGAAGGGCAGTCAGCAAAGCCAGCCTTTATGTCTGGACTCTTTCAAAAACACTGTGGCTGCGAGTTAAACATAATTCCTCATGTTCTTTAGGTTATTATATATATATTTTTAAATATAAGTGGTCTTATCAGCTGGTTCTTGACAGGACATACTGTAGGCTTGTGAGGCCAGCTGGCTTTTGCATCCATCGACCTGCGCTTGTCCTGCAAGCAACCACTCTGTTAGGCAGTTTGAGGTTAAATGGTGCTTCAAGCTTGGCAGTCTCATTTGTGAAAATTGCATGTCAAGCTGTGTATTTGTTGTACCAACGTGTCTTGTATACAGCTAGTTTGCAGTCTTGGCTTTAATTTGTTTTTATGATGTTCTGTTTAGCTTTTTTTAGCGAAAAAGTAAGCAGAACATCAACATATAAAAAAAGTCTACTCTTTGCGTTGACAGCCATAGTTTACCCATGCAGGTGTTGTCCCTTAAGTTGCCTGATTAGACCACTGTGCATATTGAGTTTTAGAAAACACACATTGTTATTAGTGCATGAGGTGACATCACTTTATTCCCAGCTCCACCTAAGGAAACGCGTGTGGGAGTACAGGGGCTTGAGGTCCTTGTTTTCTACTTTCAGCCCTACTAGCACAACTGCTGGGCCGTATAAATGGAAGGGAGGGTCAGTTGGTCATTCAGACACTGGTCATGCCTTTAGCGACTGGTCACATGGCTTTAAAAATAGAAATAATGCTAAATAACTTCAGATATAATTGTACAATATTCAATTGAAAACCACAAACAAATATTTGTTTAAAACACAGTAATGATATTCTGGGGTTGCTGTTGTGTTGGACGAGTATATGTACTCAAAACAGGTGATCTCACAACAATAGACCCCTCCCTCTTTTCCCCATGAGAGTCTCTACAGTCCGTCAGCATCATCAGTGATGATACTGTGAGACACACACACACACACACACACACACACACACACACACACACACACACACACACACACCCGTGCATCAACACACACACATTGATAACTGAACTCGGAGAGGAAGGCTTAAGGGGTGGTTAGTCTGGCACTTTGTCATAGCCCAGCGTGCAGCAGAGGCACATGCAGAGCGCACACGGATACGCACACACGCACACACGCCCTGTCTACAGAGATGCCCGGCAAAAAAGAGAGTGCGCGTTAGTCGGTGCAGCAGAGACATGCTGAAGAAACTGATGTGCAAGAAAATCTGCGCTCGTAAGAACTATGCCTTTTATCTCTCCTTTCCCCCCTCTCCCTTTTCTTCCCTCGTGGTTTTGATCCCATAACTCTTGGTGTTTCGTCTTTGTCATTGTTCTGTCATTGATCCGCTTCCTCTGGCTGTGCGTCTTTTTCATTATTTTCCTCTCTCAACCTGTTGCCTTCCACTTTGTTATCGTGCTTTTCTGTCTGTGATACGTGCAGTGTCATGGTCATGATACTGTTTGTAGCAGGGACATTTCGGGAGCTCTTTTTTGTGGATGAGATCGACCATTGTTCTGTGTATTTTTCCCCCCACTTAATTTCAATTATTTTGACTCAGCTCCACCGATAAAAGCAATGTTTATGTGAAGCTGTAAGGGGTTGGCAGTCCTAAACAACAGGTTATTGGAAGCCTATCTACAGGAACACATTCTTTCTGACAAATGGATTGAGAAAATGTTTTAAAATCCATTGTATTTTCTCTACATGTCTTTTATAACAAGACAATGACCTAAGCTGCAAACATTCCCGTTGTCACCATGCCTCAGCTGACTGCAACCACCCAGCACGGTCATATCTGCCCCAGGATAATCCCTCGTGTGAATGGTCACGTTGGGCAGGTGACAGGGGGCCTTGTATCCATGCACCGCTGCCAAACCAGATTAAAGTCAGATGGATGGATAGATAAAGGTCGAATGCATACATACACACAACCTGACAGATTGACAGCGTTGCACTCTCCGTTGAGGCAGGCAGAGGTCATACAATGCAGAGATGACTCAGGGCCTACTGTAGGCAGATTAGTGAGAAGAGAGTGATGATGCATTTCACCATGGGCCCTCCTACTAACCAGGAAGAACACGTCTGAGGGGAGCGACGTGTCTCTGAATGATAAGGGAATAATGATTTATTGATCCTTACGGCAAAGATCTCTCACACAGTGAAAAACCTTTACATGTGGCACTTTCCTGGTTTAAATCAACTGTTACATTATAAATGTTCCTATTTTATTTTTTTTTCTGCCCGTCTGTTGTTACAGATAAGAACTTTGAGGATGAAGACTCTGTGGATGGAGGCCGATCCTCCTCCTCGTCATCATCCAAAGCACCCCCTAGTGGCAGGAGGACTGTAGTGAGCTCTGTAAGGAGACCCAGCTCGGCCACCACAGCTAAGGCCACAGGTGAGGAAGGGCTTCAGTCCACACAGAGGCACACAGCTATAACATATAATCTGTGCAGTACTTTCAATATTAGTAATAGTGTATTTGCCAATACTACAACTGTGACTATATGTCTAAAATGTTTAGTAATGTCTTGACAGGTATGAAATGAAACACAAGAGCTAATCCTACCCTGCTGCTTAGATTGTTCTTTAGACAGGTTAAAGTGCTGCTGAATCTCAGTTTCCTTAATACTACCATGTGCATTTTTTCTTAAAGCTAAAGAAGCAGCTGCCGGTGCTGTTGATGAAGAGGATTTCATCAAAGCCTTTGAAGACGTGCCCTCAGTCCAGGTACGCTGAGCTAAGTATTGTTTGGTAGCGTTGGATAATACAAAATGCAGCACAAGAGGACAGAGTGGCCGGGGAAGGTATTTCGCTAACATAAGATGGATTTGAACAGATACTGGGCCTCATGCAAGACCCGCTCACGCAAACCGATTTGTTTTTACATGGCATGTCACAAGTTTTACATTTGGTTCTGTTGCTTTAGGACCCTGCCATGGCCCAGCTGTAGTAATTAGGCTTGGCCAGTATCAAGGTATTACGGTATACCAGGGTATTTAAAAAAACAGTGTGACTTATAGTATCGTCCAAAATACAGAAGCTCCTCTTTCTGCGTGTCATCCTCAAGCTCGGGTCCTCTACCAGAGGCCTGAGTTTGAGGGTTCTGCGCAGTGTCTTAGCTGTTCCTAGGACTGCACTCTTCTGGACAGAGACCTCTGATGTTTTACCTGGAATCTGCTGTAGCCACTCTCCCAGTTTGGAGGTCACAGTCCCCAGTGCTCCGATCACCACTGGCACCAGTGTTGCTCTTACTTTCCACATCTTTTCTAGCTCCTCTTTCAGCCTTTGGTATTTCTCAAGCTTCTCGTGTTCCTTTTTCTAGATGTTGTTGTCGCTTTGGATTGCCACATCTATCACTGCAGCCTTCTTCTGCTCCTGGATAGCTCAGTAGTTAATGCCACTAATTTTGGTCCAGGTGATCGGGGGTTCGATTCCCGGTCAGGACGGGGGTATCCGGGCGAACCCTTAGGCAAGGTCCTTAATGCTACCAGCCTACCTCAAGCATGAGTGAAACCACAAATACAACACGTGTCAACAAGGTGCTAGGGAACCAAATGGGCTACATCCATTTAGTTTGGTTGAATCCATTGGACTAGAGCAGATGTATAATACACACACACACATATATATATATGTCGAAATAGTATTTGCTTAGAGAGACCCAATAATTATCACCATGCGCAAGTACTACTTGCGCAAGCAACATAGGCAAGGAAAAGCTTCCTTTTAGGAGGTAGAGAAAACTTGAACTGTACCGTGACTCAGGGTGAGCATCCATCTGCCATAGTGAACTAGATAAAAGCCTGTGCCCCTGTTTAGGAGTGTTTTGGTTTTAGTCCCGATGATAAATGTGAGCCATCTCCGTTCAGCCCACTGTTGTGTTAGTATCTGCAGCAAAAATTGTCATCCGGTCCTCAAGCAACAATCTATGGAAGAAGGCTCTTAATCCTTATCTATTCATTTTTCTATGGGCCATAAGTATTTAAACCCAGCAAGACTTGTCGAAGTAAGTAAGTAAGTAATAGTATAATGATTTACTTCAACATGCTACAATGAGTTCTATCACCAGCATATTGCTAAAACTCCTGATTTTCATGGGATACTTGTGTTTTTCATTGTCCTCTCCCAGAGTCACAATTCTCCAAATTTCCCATATTTATCCCCATTTATGACAAATGTTTGCAACTTTGTGTCCTTTTCATTGCTTCTGTGTGGTACCATTTTTCAAGTTAACATGAGCAATTGATTTACAGTCTTGGAAAATACTCACTTGTATGGACTATTGCTAGCTGGCCTCTCTCAAATCTCAGCCTTTAAAGTATATGCAGTACTGTGAAAAAACAGACTCTAATGATAATATAATCTCTCCTGTCTTTGTCCAGTTCTACTCTAACAGAGAGCTAGAGGACCAGCTGACCAAGATCAGAGAAGTGCTGTCTGATGACAAACATGACTGGGAGCACCGAGTGGTTGCGGTAAGAATCCAAATGCATACTCACACAGGGTGAGAGTGAATGTATCCAGTGATGAAAAACTGATACATGTCTCTTCTTTCTTGTTGCTCTCCAGCTGAAGAAGGTCCGTTCTCTCTTGATAGCCGGGGCGATTGAGTATGAAGGTTTCCCTCAGCAGCTGCGTCTCCTGGAGGCCCCCCTCAAATTGTCCGCTAAAGACCTGCGCTCACAGGTGGTCCGTGAGGCCTGCATCACACTAGGGTAAGAGCGTGAGATGAGGAGGATGTTCTGTCGTGCCCAGTACCCAAATTTCTAAACGTGTTTGTGACACAAGAACCACTTTACAGTAGCTTTAATGTGGTAACCTCAGTTTAAACAACCTAAGAAATTCCTTTCCCAAATAGAGATACTGTGATCTTCACCATGTCCACAAAGTTTCAGACATGAGCCTTAATCAGTGAAGATGCAATAGAGATGACTTCTGTGATTCCCACTAACTCAGCGTGTTCCAAAATTGCATTGATATGCTACAGATAGAAGAATGAGAATTTTAGAGAAAAAAGGAAATCTGACTCCTAAATAGCAGTGAACAAGTGCATTACCTGAATATTAATATTATACTATAATATTTTATAGCTTATGCTTCCATTTAGGCTAATCTTTATGGTTTGAACCAGTTCCAGCACATTGTATTATTGATACCAACAATAATTCACAGGTAAGTACAAAGTAGGGTTGGGCAATTATTAGACACGATTTTCAGATTTTGCATGTCTTAGATCGCTGTGTGAGAAATGAGGTGTTAGTGAGTGCACAGAGCATAGCTTTTGTCGGCAGAAGGACTGGATTGTGTTTGTGGCGTGTCATCACTGATTTATTATTTGCACAGCCCAACCGTAATACAGTGAAAACTGAAAACCTACTAAAATGGTAATCTCTTGTGTTTTTAATTGGAGAGTCATTCTGTTTTCATTCATTTTCCTTGCCAGGATAGTTTTAATGGCTTTGATTGGCAGCAGTGATATTAACTGAAATCTCTGATTGATTAGCCTATGCCAGGAAAATCGGCTGCTAAAATATTTTCTTTCCACATACTTAAGCTAATGAACATGAGCCCTGCTCGGGTATGAAACGAGCAGCATGCTTTCCACCCAAAAACATCCGTCATCCAAAGTTCTAATACAACCCTGATGAGGTAGAACAGAGTAAAGATGCACTGAAAGAGCAGTAAGTTGATAAATAGATTGAATAGCAGCTACGTGGATCCTGTCATCTCTTGTAATGTCACCACCACAGTTTGCCTTTCGATCCTGTACAAACATTCCCCAGCTGACTTTTTCTTCAGTTTTTTAACCTATACAACCTATATATACAGCATCAGTGTTGATGTTATCGGGCTATATTTCTATTTATAATAACCTAGTTCTTATTTCACCATTTTAATTCTACTTCTTTCTAGGGCTGGACGATATGGCCAAAAATGTTATCACGATAAAAAGTTTCATATCTTTGGATATCGATAAATATCACGATAAGTATCAAATCGTTATTTCTTTCGAGTTTAAATAAAGTATTTTTGCTCCTGAAAGTTGAAGAAACCTACTTAATTATTATTTAAGCTCTTCATTATGGTCAACACTTGATGCCAAACAGTGGATCACTTCACAAATCAAACCTTCATAGAACATTTAAAACAATTATGATAAAATCTTTGTCAAGAAATATGCATGAGTAAAATGAAGTAAAAGCTTTTTGCAGTCCTTTTCCTCAAAAAAATAAACATCTCATTAAAAAATAAGTCCTAATTCATGTGTGAGTCAAGTGAATAAAAATAAAAAATAAAAAAAAAATTTATCAAACATTTGTTATATTGTTAGTTAAAATAATTATATCACAATAATTATTGTAATTTCTTTTTAGCGTCCCAACTTCTTTCTCCACCTTATTGAAGTGTCTGCTCACTAGCCTAGGCTACTTGTATAAGCTCCCTCTCCCTTCAGTTCTCTTTTCCCCACATTCACACATACCTACACCTCCGCTGCAAACATAGCGGTGTGCCCCGCCTCTTTCTGCGTCTCTCTCACCCTGTATGTGTCTGTGCTGCTGTCTTGCTCCATCAGCAGTATGTTTTGTGTGTGTTCACTGTCGCTTTACTTGGTCCGTGTTTGTAAAATATCCTCCGTGTCTTGTAACGTAATAGATAGCATCTGTCTGTGTTGCTCTGCAAACTGCTAAAATGCGCTGCCAAATATACCTCGGCAGCTGTGTGTGGGAAACACATATTGCATCTCAACCCCTAGATAAACTGTAGAAAGTGAAATAAAATAATTGTTGGATGGGCTGTACTTTCTACACACCTGCCTGCCACAGTCCTCTTGGTATTATCAGATAACAATAACGCATCACCATGAATGGATCATCTGACCCCCCCTGTCCTTCCCTCTGTCAGACATTTGTCATCATTGCTGGGTAACAAGTTTGACCACGGAGCGGAGAGCGTCATGCCCACGCTGCTGAACCTTGTGCCCAACAGTGCCAAAGTCATGGCCACGTCTGGGATGGCCGCCATCCGCCTCATCCTCAGGGTAAGACATCTGGAAGGCAGAGTTGAGGTAGATCCTCAGGCCCCCTGCAAATGATTTCTTTCATCAATAAAGTCTTCCTGGAGACAATTTATTTACAGGACTGTCATGTATTCCACCAGACCATGTGAGAATGAAAGAAAATTTAGGAAATAATGAAACCGTACTTTTGTCTTTGTCCTACAGCACACACACTACCCACGTCTCATCCCCATCATCACCAGTAACTGCACCTCCAAATCAGCAGCAGTCAGACGGTAAGAGGACCTTAATGAAAACAGGGCATCTGTTCATACAGTTGCTGCAGGTCAAAAGCTTTCTTCTTTTGATTGTAGAGCTCTTAGTAACCCTTTCCAGATATAGTTTTTGTTCCTATGTTAAATATCCTGTGTCATGGAGTTGTGTACTTGAGCAGTGTTCAACTGTGTCCCCTTTCCAGACGCTGTTATGAGTTCCTTGACCTCATGTTACAAGAGTGGCACACTAATACACTGGAAAGGTAAGTTGAAGCTCTTGCTGTTTCCTTCAAAACCCCCAAAGCACTAGGCAAGTGTGCATGTAATGTGTGTGCGTGTGTGTGTGGTGGAGGTAATGCTTCTTCTTCTTCTTCTTCTTCCTCTCACATGATGGCATTTGAGTTTGCTAATATTTGAGTTAGCTAAGCGTTGGCTGGGTGCACCACTGATGAGGCCCATTAAATTGATGAGTCCTGAGAGAGCCGTCATCATCAAGACCCCCAGCGACAAGGCGACTTTCCATCTCTGTAACCATGACAACCTCAGCTGAGACTTTAAAAAGCGTGCGAAAAACCCTGTGGGTGGCCACATTGCCTGTGGACCACCAGAGGAATAAACTGGAAGAGACAGAAAAAGAGAGACTCCAGGAGTTTTTAGCATTTGAGGTCTAAGCTTACAGGAGTCGTCCGCCTGCTTTTATCTTGATGTGATCTTGGGTCTTAGGTTAACTACTTGTGTCCTCCTCACCATGTTCCCTTACTATCCCAGACATGTAGCTGTTCTGACTGAGACTATCAAAAAAGGCATACACGATGCTGACTCTGAGGCCCGCTCCATCGCAAGAAAGTAAGTGTCACCCAGACAGGCTTACGTTTAAAATGTGCGTTGACCTTAGTCATGTCTCTGTTTTATGAGAAAACCAAGTATTCACCAGTTTCTACCGTGGCAAAGTAAAAAATGTCTGTCTTTATCTCATCTTCTGTTCTTCCTTGCCCTCACCTATAGGTGTTATTGGGGTTTCCATGGTCACTACAGCCGGGAGGCAGAGCACCTGTTCCAGGCGCTGGAGTCCACCTATCAGAAGGCCCTCCAGTCTCACCTGAAGAGCTCTGACAGCATCGTGTCTCTACCACAGTCTGACCGTTCCTCGTCGTCTTCCCAGGAGAGTCTCAAGTAAGAACCGCGGTGTCCTTCTAGTGTCCCCGCCTTCTGTCCTTACCCTTTCCTACATTGTGTTCCACTCCCTGTTCTCTTTGTTCATCTTTGTTCATCTTTACTCTCCTGCTTTGCTTGGTTCTGAGATCCAATCTCTGTTATATGTTCTTCTTTGCTGTCCTATCCTCCACCTTCCATTATATTATATTCCTATATTTTGGAAGCTTTTGCACATCTATTTGCTGTAATTGATTGGAGGAAACCACTAAGGCTGATTCAATATGATTGTAAAAACATTGGTAATTATTATCAGATGGGCAGCAGATGGGTGAGCGCTCTGACACACAGCCACACGCACGCACACTCTCGGATCAATAGCCATCATGTTGATTAATGACCTCATACTCACAGGCATGAAGAGGTGACCTCATTTTTCATAAGATCTTTTTCCTGTCTCGCAGTAGGCTGTGGTTTTCAGTTGGATGCTAATGATGTCCAGCAACTAACATGTTGAATAGAACTCTCAGATCCAGCATCACCACACATTGAGCTGTAACATACTGTACATGGCCCATTGATTATTATTTGTATTTAACATGCTCTCCATTACAGTGAGTCCATGCATTTTAAATATGTCATTTCTAATTCTTAGATACAATATTTGTTGTTAAAGGAGTTTCTCAGATACTTGGGTTAGAATGTGATGTACATAAAGTCTAAAAAGTATCTTGTTATTCCTGTTTTGTTTTTTCCAGCCGGCCATTGTCTGTGAAGAGTGTCATTGGAGGGAGCATAACAAGGAGTAAGCCACTTCCTAATATGCTTTCAATCCCTTGGATTCCCAGAAGGGACAAGTATAGAAAGTTAGGCAGTAGTGTAGAGAAGAGAGTAGAGAGAAAGCAGTTAAGAGAAAACCAGATTGAAGTTCCCATTTCATTCACCTTGCCAATGCTCCCTAAAATCAATACCTTGTATCCATACTGTCCCCAACAGCACTCTCTACAGCTTTGTAGTTAAGATAAGTTGAGATGAGAGAAGAGAAGACTTTATTGGGAAATGCAGCAGCAATGTTACAGCAACAAAAGAAATCAGTCTAAAGAGTTGCAGATACAGAGCTATTTAAAATCATAATGACACAATTAGAAATCTGAGTTAATGACATTCAAAAGTTATACTGTATGTAATAATACATGACATATACTGTATGTATAATATTTAGGTCATTTGCATGATTTGTGCATGTATATGCACATGCCCATTTGTACATAGCTGTGCACATGTTGATGTGGAGAAGTAATGCATCTAAGTTTCTTACGGCTGGATTCCACAGGGCACGGCTGCCGGAGCTGATAACGGCCATTCTAAACAATTCTTGTGGTTCCACCAGGGATTAGAGCCCTAACTGACTCACAACTGACTTGTGCTATTGTCACAGTTCTTGTACAGTCTGATGTCGGTTTGCACTCTGGTAGAAGTGAAAAGTAAAGAGTTAAGTAGGCACTTAAAATAAACTCCCTCACTCAGGTGACTTTCAATTTCTGTGCTACTGTAGGTAAGCTGGTGAGCACCAGGGGGCCTACTACACCGGGTTCCCTCCAGCGCTCCCGTAGTGACATCGATGTAAACGCCGCCTCCAGTGCCAAGTCACGTCTGTCCACAGTTCCTGCCTCATCACCGTTCAGCACTGCAGCTGCCCTCCCCCCAGGGTCCTATGCCTCACTAGGTAACCCATCAGTCGTCTCCCCTCACCCTCTAAAGGCAGTTCTTCACTTTATTGTGAAGAAAGAACTTTCTGTCATTTAGCACATAAAGTGTTCAGAGAATCAATGCTGGTAGTTTAAGGAGAAAGACGTTATAGTGCAAACTGGAGGCAAGACAAAAGGCTAGTCTAAAAAACTGTGAATTAATTAAGCTAACTTACGATGATTTTGCTATCCCTGACTTACGTAAGAACAGACACCCTCAGAATAAACACTGCATTTGAAGATATGTACTCAGGAATGAGCCACTATCTATCAGGAGGCTAAATGATCCCGTCATCATGAGGTATTAAAACATTTTCTCCTGTAGTCACTGGCTTTTATGGGCATGACTGGAGTTATTAATGACTTCTGAGGCTGTCATTAGACTGTTCTGTCAGCAGGAACTGTTTAAATCCTACGTTGACACTTGACAAATTGCTGTGATGAGACTTAGTGCGATTAATTTTTAATGGTTTCACTAACATTTTAAGCCAATGGGGAATGTTTAAGCCACTTCCTGCCACCAGATATAACATTTACTGTAATCTCTTTGCCATGCAGAAACTTCTCTCCCTCGCTTGTTCTTATCGAATGAGTCAACGTAGCTCCTTAATGTCCATTACTAATGATGATGAGGCCCCTTGCTTACCCACTCACTTCTGCTCCTGCTGCAATTGCTACTAATGTCTTCCTCTATACCTCTCCTCCCACTCGCTGCTGCACCACCTATCTTAAATGCCCAAAAGATGGCACTCCTGGTAAAAGTGATGGTAAGATATGTGTGTGTGTGTGTGTGTGTGTTTGTGTGGGTGGGTGGGTGTGTATGTGTGCAAATTTCACAGAGAGCGCAGGAAAGTGAAGATGTACGAGTGTGTCTTTTTTTTGTCAGCTCTCAGGGGCTACTCGTTTACATCCTATATCTGTGCCCTCTTTTCCTCTCTTTATCCTCCCAAGTGGTCGTCACTTATGTGGATCTCTGCATGGACTGTCTGCATGATTTCCTCGTCTGACTGTAACCCTAACAACTGTATCCATCAACTCTGTTACTTACACAGCGATCAAGTCCGACCTTACTGTTTCACACTGTAGGGTTGTGTTTAGTTGATAGAGGAGGTTGTTTTCTTCTTTCTTTCTTGGTTTCTTTATTGCTCCACAGAAACTGATGCGCCACTCTAACAGTGAAATAAACGGTCTAAATCTGGTCAAGGTCTTGGACTGTTCTGTGGTGTGTACCATGTAGCATAAACCTGAATGAGAATCATACCATCTGTTTTGTGGTATTGTGTAAGGTTTCATTCTACAGATCCCTTTTTTGTGGTCAGTCATCCACAAATCAAATCAGCTAGTTGTCAGTTTAGAACGATCTGAACAAAAGAAGCTTGCCCACTGCTTCACTGTAGGGAAAAGCAATGGAGTCTGTGGTAATGCAAATGAAACTGAATAGAAGATCAGGCAGACTTTGGCACAGTATTATAAATCTTGATAAAGTGGAGGGGACATAGTGTAATACCAGAGCAACATGTTCTCCCCACAGAGACTTATTTTTAACTTGCTGTGTAATTCTTGTTATCACACACACTATTATTTCTGGCACGTTGTGTAACCGGTTACACTAGGCGCTCTAGGTGAGATGGCCTTTGTCCCCCAACTTATTATGAAATCCTCCAATGGCCTCGCAGACTCACTCATCATCACAGTGATTGTTTTTATCACACTTCACATTTTATGATGTTTATTTTTGGCCAGCACATGTTCGTAATCTGTGTTTAACCAAAATTCAGTGTCTGCTGTCAGTGAGTCTCTCAATTTTGGGCAAAATGTTTTATGTTTCTACCTTTAAAAACAACTCGTTAGCATTTCTCACTAGCCTTTTGGCAAGCAGCTAGCTGCACCCATTGGTTTGAATAAGGAGGGCTAGTTGACAAAAAACAAGTTTTATTCGCTTAACTTCCGATACAGAATGTTATTCTACTCATTGTAGGAAGTCAGTAATGTGAAGATGGGAATATTTTCAAAATCTCACAGTATTCATTACGTTTGCAGGTTCTTTTTCAAGCACAGCATATAGGCATCTTCACAGGACATTCAGTGATTGTGTGTCTTTCTCCAGACCTGGGTCAGAAAGTTTGCCAATATTTCTTATGGTTTGTTTTAGCACATAAAGGCACACAGGTGGCATGTGACACAGGTTTTGAAGTCACTTAACTGGTGCTTTTCTGTGGTTCATGTCTTAGCTAGCAGGTTAAAATGAACGCTGAGAATTATTTGCAAACACTAATGGACCCAGATTTGTCTGTTTCCCTCCTGTGTGTTTTCAGAGAGGCTCTTTCCCCTCATTCTGTCTCCCCAGACTTTGTCGTCTCCAGCATCTCTGTCTAGGGTTGGGGTGAATTTCAGTCATTCAAGTGGATTTGACTCCCACTGCCTCTCTTCCCTCCCCCCTCTGGCTTCTTCCCTTGTCGTCCAGGTCGTGTTCGTACAAGGAGACAGAGCTCGGGCAGCGTGGGCGGGGCCAGTACCTCAGTGGTGGACAGTAGGGGGCGCAGCCGAGCCAAAGTTGTCTCCCAGTCCCAGCGTACGTATATACACCCCACACATGCTCTCATATGGTGAAGTTGTATTGAAATCAGAGTACACATTCAGCGTTACACAGGTATGAATGTGCGTACTGCATACCTATCTGTCACTTTCATATTTCAGTATGATCTTTGTCTGCATTGGCTTTAAGATCATACTAAATGTTTTGCTGTTTCTTGTATGTGTATGTGATGTTTCTCATGCCCTACAGCAACCTGAAAAAACTTCGAGTCACTCACAAATCTTGTGTATTTGTGCAAGTGTGCCTACATGTATCCACAGTATGTGTGCTTGTGTTTTAAGTTTGTAAATATGTGTGTGTGTGTGTGTGTGTGTGTGTGTGTGTGTGTGTGTGTTGGTATCTATATATTCTTGAGATCTGGCAGTGATCAGTACACAGCATACATGGTCACAGCAGTCCTGAGTGCATGCTGGGTAAAATCAATAAGCACAACCCCTTCTGTCTCATTTTGACCGTTCTCGATCTCCACCCTGTCCTGCCTATTGCTTCCATCACCCAGGATCCAGATCAGCCAATCCCATCAGTGGTAAGGCCTCAGCTTCATCCAGTCACAAGCCAGACGTTTCATCCCCAAGCACCTCCCCCCTAGCGCACAGAGATTTGCATGCTGTCCCTTTCTTTTAGCCTTTTCCTTTTTGTTTCACCACCTACAGTAGCAGCATGCTTAGCTCATGTGTCGTTTTATTTTTTTACTTTTCCCCCACAGTTTGAGAAGCCGTATGGAGTTGGACACGTTTGCCGTCAAACATTTTGTTGTCTTTGTGGCCTTTGTTTTCACTGTTGAAGCGTTGTATGTTCCCACTGGTGACTGGTGCCACAGTTAATGTCTCCCCACAGCACAGTTAGTTAGAACACAGTTCTAGCCCACCTCATCCTGTGTGTGTCTAGACTGTAGCATCTGTATTTGTTCATTCAGACTTTAATTTCTTGTGAAGTTCTGTTTGCCTCCAACTGTTGTGTTGTCACTAAAATAGCATTCATTCATTCAAATATAACTTAATCTGTTAAATACCTGACATAGGTTTATACTCCACGCTGAGATTAATACAAGTAGGAGAAGACATTATAATGTGTCAGATTAACTTTGCTGTTGCTGCACTGTCCCAACAGCATTGGGTCTGTTGATACAGGACATGTTATTAAAGGTTGTACCCCTCCCTTAGCCTTTTCCCAGCCGGTGTCTCAGCCACTGTCAGTATAGTCTAGCCATGCTGCATATTTTAGTGTTTGTTTTATGTACTCTGTCCCAACAGCCGGCAGTCGCTCCAGCTCCCCAGGCAAGCTGCTGGGGCACGGCAGCTACGGCCGGATCCCTCGAGCCACGGTGTCGGCCTCCTCCACGCCGGCAGACAAGCGCAGCAAGATCCCGCGCAGCCAGGGCTGCAGCCGTGAGACCAGCCCCAGCCGGCTGGGCCTCGGTAAGGCCAGGAGCCCGGCACACACTATTTTAGCACAAGTCCATCCCTTTCTTTAGTAAGCTACTGACTACAGGACTGCTGTCTATGTGGTATAAGTCTGAAACAGTGAATTAATGTAAATTACTGATTTGCTTTTGTGTGGTGAAGGAAAAACAGGAAACTGAAATGCTATATATCAGTGTTCTTTTCAAATCCACGCCATTAAAATAGCAGCATTGTGAAAAGACTCAGCCATGAGCGCAGCACTGACACGTGCACATCACTGACCACACAGGTGTGCTCGTCACCATAAAGCACATCGGCACATGTACTCATAAGCAACATAACACATGACACAGGCTTATGTAAACAAGTAGACCTGCACTTTCTTATCTGAACTTCCTGATAAAGAGAGAAACTCAGGTTTCTGTTTCGTCCTTTGAAACTGCAGCATTCTCATTTCCTGTACTCAGCACAGATAGTGTTGCTGTGGATCACAAAGCATTGTTGCCTTATTGTGTGCGTGGACAGTGCAGATGACAAAGACGATAGTGTCTCTACCTATGATGGTATTCACTTCCACTAGTTCTCTTGTCATCATGGTGTATAGTTTTTGTCTTCAACTAAACATTCCTCACAGATCTATCCTAATGTGTGATTGGTTGACGGGGAGCGGATGGTTATGGGTATGAAAAGGCATGAAAAATCTATGCCCCGACAGTAAGATATGTTTTTTTTTTTTCTTTTGAAACAGAGGGTGAAATCCTGTCAAGTAGAAAAAGAAATGTTCTGGTTTGGCAGTCATACCCATTAGGGTCAAACAGAGTGGCTGGCTAACGCCGCACAGAAACCTAATAACATATGACTAGTTACTCTGTACACCCCAGCAGTTGATGGGTAGGTGCCAGGCAGAGTCATACCTCTGATAGTTTGATTAAACATCCTTTTTACTCATTTGTCAGGGTTGGATTGATGGTCGTCTTTAATGGACTAAAAATCTTTTTGAAAAAAATGTTCATGCGCCATTGAAAAATTGTTTCAGTAAGAGGACATGTTGAATGTTTCTGATTCAGTGCAGATCCTTCAGTTTTGTTCAACCTATCTGTTGCAAAAAGAAAGTTTTTAGTAGTGTCTAGCACCGGGTGCGCTAGTGTTTTGATGAGGGGACGATACTAGAGCCCGACCAACATGGGATTTTTAAGTCCGATACCGATTTTGATATTTGGATTTTAAAATCCGATATATCGGACAATATTCTTTTCCCCCTTTATTTTAAGAAATGCATAACATAAACTAAGATTATCCCTAACATTTGTTATGTTGAGACCATACCCAGATACCGTGACATAATGCAGTACAAAAAGAAACCTTGTTATTATTATAAATAGTACTAAGTGCAGCAACATATAAGAGTCAAATGTATAAAACTACAGAAAACATTTTATATCTGATATATATCTGAATATATTAGTACTACTACTAATGAACATTAAATTAAATAGTGTATGTATTGTGGGGGCCTGCAAAACAGAATCTATAAAAAATAACATCTATCTATCTATCTATCTATCTATCTATCTATCTATCTATCTATCTATCTATCTATCTATCTATCTATCTATCTATCTATCTATCTATCTATCTATCTATCTATCTATCTATCTATCTATCTATCTATCTATCTATCTATCTATCTATCTATCTATCTATCTATCTATCTATCTATCTATCTATCTATCTATCTATGACTCTCTGTTTCTCTTTTTAATAGTCATATATCAGCTGTTATAAACGTTGATGCAGATATATCTGCAAGTAGCTTATATCGGCCGTTAATATCCGCGAAACGATAAATCAGTCGGGCTCTAGATGATGCTGTTCATGTTCCTGTTACTGCTTTTACCACAACTTGATGTGTTACTTTCCTAATATTTAAATCACAAACCCTATTGTGTGTATATATATATTTTTTATTTTATTTTTTCATGTATGTGGATGTTGTCACACGTTAACAGCTCGAGTTGCTCTTTAGAGTGTGCAAACTGTCTAACCTTTACTAGCAGTTTGCTGTTTGACCACTGACTCACCCAGCGTTCTGCCGCTGCTTCTACTGTGACTGTTTCTTTTCTTCTCTCCACTTTCATTTCTTCTTTATCTTCTTTTTATTCTCCAGTCTATCTTGCTCTCCCTTTTAGAGCTGGGAACATTAACATGTTGTTGTTATTATTACGTTAAAGCATTAATTAATTTATCGCAGACAAATTATTTTATCGCACGTTAACACAGTTTTTATTATTATTATTATTATTATTCTAATTATTATTTTGAAAGTCCGTTGCTCACTGGCTCTGAGTACACATTCAGTCAAACCATGGGTCACAGGAGGGGCGGGATGTTGATCAGCCTACAAATCCCCCAACCAAACAAGCAGCGGAGGCTTCAGCAGACTACGCTGGATGCAGCGTGTGGGAGAAGTAGATAAACAAAAGCTAGACAAGCGATCAAATGCCACAGCGAAGTGGATAGCTGCATACTGCTGATTAGTACTGGGGAAGATATCGGTCTTAGGAAAGTTCTTAAAATACACAACGTAGTCGCTTGGCCCCGTGGGGTTGCTCTTTGCTCTTTGATCAGGAGACAATGTTGATATCCTATTTAGTAAACAGTAATAGATTCTGGAAACTCACAAACAGTGAGGATCAGTCTCTCTTCCAATGATTTGTGCTGCGCGTCACATACAAAATGTTAAAGACAATTCAAGTTCGGCGGTGGGTGGGCGTGTGCGTGAGGCGACCACTTCAGCTCACTCTAACAGAGGACACTTGCTGAACATAGATTGTTTATGCTGCAAACCTTTGTTGGGTGTAATAAATATTGTATCCTGGAGGCACAGTCTGCAGGTCTTTATACTTTTGGTTTTCTTCTCTCATAACCTCTACCCTTCTTCTTTTCCTCATTTCTGACTCACCACACTCCCCCATGAACGAACACTGACATTCCCACCTAACTTGTTGTCCTGACAGCCAGCCTGTGTGGTAAAGCTCTTCTTCCTGCTGCTCTTCCCTACCGCACGCTAGCCCGGAGCCGCATTCCCCGACCCAGCATGAGTCAGGGTTGCAGTCGCGACACCAGTCGCGAGAGCAGCCGCGACACCAGCCCTGCTCGGGGCTTTGCTCCTCTGGGTGAGTACCGCTGAGCTAATAGATGTCTGGCTTCTTCTCCCAGTGAGTGTCCCTGTCTTTGCGGCTGTAGTGTCGTATGGCCATTCTACCGCCTGTCTTTGACTGTGCATGCACTAACGGTATCTTTCAGGTGTTAGGGAAGATTACTGTTCCGTGGGGGGTGCAACATATTACTACTGTTATTTATTGTTTTGTTCTTTGATGAAGAATCTTCAAATGTATCTTCTTTATTTTGGACTGTTTTAAGTTTGGTTCATGCGTTTAAATAGTTTCTGAATAGTTTCTGTGTTCAAATGTTGTACCATCAATAAAGATTGTGGAAGACGTACTGTACTGTAATGGAGGAAGTAGACGCAACAGAAACAACAAGCAATCATTACAGTCAGTATTCATAGCTGATGGTACCCCTGCAGCCAGCTGCTGAAGCTCTTATACTGTTACATTCTGGGAAGTGATGTCTTAATTCTGGAGCCGTTGCTTTGTCATCAAGGAATCTAGAAAACAGGAGTTTTGAAGTATGTCACCACTCAGCATTTCACTGCTTTAGTGCTTAGTTAGCTTAGCATGGGTCAACTGCTTCTTTGTTGTTGTTTCTGTAGACCAGATCAGTCTAAGAGATGGAGCTGTTGGTCATTTTTAAACTCTCCAGACTTGAAACTGAAGATTGCTTCTATACGTTCTGTTTAAGTAAGCCTTATTTACAGCAGACTGATGAATGCTCACCAATGAATTACACTTCCTCCTTATTTTAGGATTTCTTATTTGTTATGAAGGACAAAGCCACCCCCTACTATACTGTACTGTAGTATAATTCATGTAGCTGTGAACCTTTTTACACTGCAGAACTAACTGAAATCTCTTGCCAAGTCAAGCCACATCTTAATCTTTTTATCAAAACAAGAACAAGCAGTGATTTTGGTTGTGGAATTAGCAGGTTATTTCTAATCTGCTTCATAGAGCAGAAGTCAAAGGTTGATGTAAATATCAAGCTAGAGCCCTCATACATTTATTTTTCAAACTAAAACAAACGCATGACAGAATCAGGTCAGTGAAATCTAATGTCAGTGCAGCAGTGTGACAGCGGCTCCTGAGTCTTACCTCTGAGGTTGGTGTTCTACCTGTAGTCTGTGTCACTAACCCCCTGGTCTGGGTGTCGGCCACCTCTCCTGTCCCCTGCAGCCTCCCGACGTCACTCCCGTTCAACCAGTGCTCTCTCCACAGCTGACCCTCACAGCCAGTCAGGTGACCTGCATGCCCAGCCCTCCCAGCCTCCCAGTCTCTCTCGGTTCTCCCCCAAATTCCACATCTTAGAGGCAATAATGCCTACTGAACCAGCATGCCTCTGTGGTTGTGTTAAGTGTTATGTCTGCAGGCAGCATCCATCATTCACTTACTTTATTTCCCCTTCAGAGTATTTTAGAGCATTTTATTCAGTATGTTAGCAAACTGGGAAGGTAAGGATAGTCAAGTTGTATTTGTTTGGCATGCAAAGGGAAACATTATGTGTTCATGCTTGTCCCTTAATCACCACTTTGCATTTTCAGTGCCTTATATATTTCTGATTTTAGCTGTGATTTTTGTGGAATTGTGATCTATAGCCTTTTATGTGCCTCTGGCATTTTAATTTGTAACATATAAGCTCATATTTGTTGGTTTTCCTCTTTGGTGCATAGTTGGTGCTCTGTATGCTTCATCTCCCAGGGAAAGGGCATAGCTTTAATGTATGCCTGTGCTTTTGCCTAAGAATTTGGTCAACCTCTAATTGGGTTTTTCTTTTGTCACGTGTCTTTTCACTTTGCTTTTGGTGGTTGGAGACCTTGAGAATATTCCCCAGTAGTGATCTTTTCAGCTCATTCATTTACAGTGTATTGCATTCAAATGAGTCCAAAAGAAACAGTAAGAAAACCATCCTTTGCTTTTTCTTTTGTCCAGTCAGGTAAGTTACAATGGCCACATTTCATTTACTGCCAAGCTTCACTCACCGTCTTCCTTTACCTTTTTCTTTTCCCGCTTCCCATCTAGACCGGTATGGTTTGATTCACCAAGCAAGAATCTCTGCGTCAGTCAACGCCATGAGGGTCCTGAACACTGGCACAGAGGTGGAGGCAGCAGTTGCTGATGCTCTGGTAAGATGCTGTGGAATCTTTGCCTTCAGGACAACACATGTTAACAAGTGTGCTGTTATTTAGAGGGTAATGCTGTTAAAGCAGGCACTAAAACAAGGTTTTTATACTGACATGACTAAAATAGTATAATATTGGTTAAATTTGCATCTTCTTCTGCCACTTATCTGGGTCCAGGTCACATAAATTGATTAAACATGATTAAATATATGACTATGAATTATTGCTAAATACAGCTGGGAAGCACTGACAACATTTTTATATAAATGTCAATAAATACTTAATAAATAATTGTAGGCCTTTTTGTCCTGACTCTTCCATCATTCTCTGAACAGTATATAAAAAAGCAATTCTTGAGAAACGACACGGCAACGATGCTCACAACTCTCCTCCTACTATAGCAAACAACAGCATAATTTGGCAAAGTAGAAATAAGTTAAATGTCCGCGGGCGAGTCATCTAACGTGACCTGGCCACCACATCATGGCTGGAACGGCTGGAATAGTGTTGCATGGCTCGGCCCACTTTGTTTCCCCATTTACAGAGCCAGACTGTGAACAAACACTGGATTGTTTTTGGCTATCAGACCTTGAGGAGATATTCACAAAATTTGACAAAAAGACTAGATTTAGTGATCCCACCTTTAAATAGGGCTCAACTTTGTACACTGGTTAAGGGGGTTTTGCCATTAATGAGCAACGTCAGACCCCAATGTTTGGTTTGCTCATTGTTCTGATGGAGCACAGTAAGCATTTCTCTGCAACATACACCAGTGCGAGTTCTTTACTTTGATTAAAGACCTAGATCAGTCCTTCCTGCAATGACTGGTAGAACACACTTGCCATTCTTCCATTGATTTTGCTTTCTGTTTTTCAAACATGGAAAAACAGGCTGGTTGCTGAAATCTCGTCTAACTCCAATAGCCAAGCAACCAACACCAGTTTGCAGAATAATTTATTCTTTTTTATCTGCAACACACACTTCATAACACATTAACACATTTAACTAGTCGCTCTGTTTAAAGTTCAAGGCTCACCTGATTTTGAATGAATGTTTTCCAGACTTTAATCGTTTAATGTAAACTAAGTGAGCAGAATGTAGTCAACTTTTGTAAGGGATGTATGTTCATAGATGCTGAATATCATTAAGCCTAAGGGATACATTAAGATGCCATATGTTCCTTCTTTTCTTTATTCTGACCCTTTATTAAGAGTTTCTGAACCATTCCCACATCAGTTAAAATGTAAAATGTCTAATTTTGTCCTCTATTGCATACCCAGAAGGACTGTACTTGTTCTTTGTTCCCCCTTTAAATCTCCCTTCTCTCCTCTTTCCCTCTTGGTTGTTTGTTACCATTTCAGCTATTAGGAGACTCCAGGAATAAGGTAGTTGGTCATTTTACATACTGTTCGTATATATCCACGCCATCATGCACTAATCAAGTTGAGAAAACAATGATGCAGCTTGCCTCATAATATTGGCTCATGGCGCCCCTCCACCCCACCCCCCTTTTTATAGATTTTGTAAACAAAATTCTCCCTTGAATTTTAAGCTCATCGCATCCCAGTTGTGTGCTTTTATGGTACCCTGGCAAAGTTTAATTTTTTTCACATTGTGTTATTAATGTATTGAACTTCATTGTTTTGGTACATTATTCATATGTCTGTATTTCTTTTTTTCAAAAGTCCATAAGATTAAATATGCTCTACTGTTTGCATTTGTAGTCAAGACCTTTGCTTCCTTGTGGCACTGCTTGACTGGCTTTTAATGTTCATTTAAAACAAAAGTTACCCTTAAACCTAAAAGTATCAGAAGAAAACATGAAATGTACAGAAATCTGCATGGCTACCTGATGCAACTGGCAACCTTGTGTCAAAGATTTAGACCTCATGGCTGAGTTTATTTGCCTCAGCACATTTCCTGCTGAGACAGGGTAACATTTAGGTACCATACTGCGTGTCGTACATTTTCTTCACATTCTTCTTTCTTTCTCAGAGGAAGCCGTTGAGGCGGAGGTACGAATCACCGGGGATGTACTCTGATGATGATGCCAACAGCGACGCGTCCAGTGCTTGCTCTGAGCGCTCATATGGCTCAAGGAACGGTGGCATCCCCCATTACCTGCGCCAGACAGAGGATGTCGCAGAGATCCTGAACCACTGTGCCAGCTCCAACTGGTCAGAGAGGAAGGAGGGCCTGCTGGGCCTGCAGAATCTCCTCAAGAGCCAGAGGGTACTGAGGTGGGTAATGTTCAGCTTGCTCAAGTGTTACCAAAGGCTGTAACTATGTGTCATCTGCTAAACAGTAAAAGCAGCTGTTTGTGATTGTGTAATAGCTCTGAACGATACGGCAGACATTAGACACTCGAGTTTGAGACTCGGACTCAAGTCCGACTTAAGTCGCACACACACTGACTTCAGACTCGACTTGAGACTCATCTTCAGAAGACTTCAGACTTGACTCAGACTCGAGGTGCGGGACTCATGAACAATGTTTATTTTTAGGAAACTTCTTATGAACTTGCTGTTATTCCACTCCCTCCGTTACCTATAACCTGCCAACACGTAGTATCAGCTGCGCACAGCCACACATGAGTGAGGACAACAAACACCGGCTGATGCTGTGCCATTCATCATCCCCATCAGTCTGGGGGATGTGTTGACTTACATAGTCATTAATTGCAGTGCACATTACATGGTTGTGCTCTGTAAGTAAAAAACAGGTTATAGTTACAGAATTCCTTATAGCTATGCAGGTTTATAAGCAGCCTGGATTGAACGCAGCAGGTGATAGAAAATTCTAGCTCAGAGACTTGTGACTTGACTTGGACTCTAGCTCAAAGACTTGAGACTTGACTTGGACTTTAGCTCAGAGAATTGAGACTTGACTTGGACTCTAGCTCCAAGACTTGAGACTTGACTTGGACTTTAGCTCAGAGACTTGAGACTTGACTTGGACTCTAGTTCAAAGACTTGAGATGTGACTTGGACTTTAGCTCAGAGACTTGAGACGTGACTTGGACTCTAGCTCAGAGACTTGAGATGTGACTTGGACTCTAGCTCAGAGACTTGAGACTTGACTTGGACTCTAGCTCAGAGACTTGAGACTTGACTTGGACTCTAGCTCAGAGACTTGAGACGTGACTTGGACTCTAGCTCAAAGACTTGAGACTTGACTTGGACTCTAGCTCAAAGACTTGAGATGTGACTTGGACTTTAGCTCAGAGACTTGAGACGTGACTTGGACTCTAGCTCAGAGACTTGAGACTTGACTTGGACTCTAGCTCAGAGACTTGAGACTTGACTTGGACTTTAGCTCAGAGACTTGAGACTTGACTTGGACTCTAGCTCAAAGACTTGAGACTTGACTTGGACTTTAGCTCAGAGACTTGAGACTTGACTTGGACTCTAGTTCAAAGACTTGTGACGTGACTTGGACTCTAGCTCAGTGACTTGAGACTTGACTTGGACTCTAGCTCAAAGACTTGAGACTTGACTTGGACTCTAGCTCAAAGACTTGAGACTTGACTTGGACTTTAGCTCAGAGACTTGAGACTTGACTTGGACTCTAGTTCAAAGACTTGAGACTTGACTTGGACTCTAGCTCAAAGACTTGTGACGTGACTTGGACTCTAGCTCAGTGACTTGAGACTTGACTTGGACTCTAGCTCAGAGACTTGAGACGTGACTTGGACTCTAGCTCAGAGACTTGACTTGGACTCTAGCTCAAAGACTTGAGACTTGACTTGGACTCTAGCTCAGAGACTTGAGACGTGACTTGGACTCTAGCTCAGAGACTTGAGACTTGACTTGGACTTTAGCTCAGAGACTTGAGACTTGACTTGGACTCTAGCTCAAAGACTTGAGACTTGACTTGGACTCTAGCTCAAAGACTTGAGACTTGACTTGGACTTTAGCTCAGAGACTTGAGACTTGACTTGGACTCTAGTTCAGAGACTTGAGACTTGACTTGGACTCTAGTTCAAAGACTTGAGACGTGACTTGGACTCTAGCTCAGTGACTTGAGACTTGACTTGGACTCTAGCTCAGAGACTTGAGACGTGACTTGGACTCTAGCTCAGAGACTTGAGACGTGACTTGGACTCTAGCTCAGAGACTTGAGACTTGACTTGGACTCTAGCTCAGAGACTTGAGACTTGACTTGGACTCTAGCTCAAAGACTTGAGACTTGACTTGGACTCTAGCTCAGAGACTTGAGACTTGACTTGGACTCTAGCTCAAAGACTTGAGACTTGACTTGGACTCTAGCTCAGAGACTTGAGACGTGACTTGGACTCTAGCTCAGAGACTTGAGACTTGACTTGGACTCTAGCTCAAAGACTTGAGACTTGACTTGGACTCTAGCTCAGAGACTTGAGACGTGACTTGGACTCTAGCTCAGAGACTTGAGACTTGACTTGGACTTTAGCTCAGAGACTTGAGACTTGACTTGGACTCTAGCTCAGAGACTTGAGACTTGACTTGGACTCTAGCTCAGAGACTTGAGACATGACTTGGACTTGTGAGCATCTCTGGTCCACATCAAGTGTACTGTGTTAGTACTTTTCACACACCTACTTACCTGGTCACACGTGAACTCGCACTTAATTGCTGAATACCTCCAAGCGTGGGTATGGGGGACAGACCCGTTGTCTTGAACTATGCTGAAGGGGGGATAAAAGTGACTAGATTGTCAGAGCATTTCTTAGCACCTACCTTAGCTTTGTAGATACATGAAAGAATGTAAATATTAAGCTCTGCTTTGGAAGATTCTTGGACTTTTAACATGAGAAGCAAATAGAACTATTTGGCAATCCCAGCCATGCTTTACGTCCTGTTTGTCTTCTGTTTATTGCAGCCGAGTGGAGTTGAAGAGACTTTGTGAGATCTTCACAAGGATGTTTGCAGATCCACACAGCAAGGTAAAGAAGATGAATTGTACCAAATGCTCTTCACAACTAATTATTATGATGAAGTGTAAAAGCATGGTATCCAAAATACAGCAATAAACGATGAAGCTGTGACTTTCTTGAAACTAATGAAGTGTGTCTTGTTGCATGGTCTGTCTTGCTGTGGATTTAACAGAGAGTAAGTGTGTTTTTTTTTTTTTTATCCAAATTATTACAGACGTGAACCTAAATCTGACTGAACGTGAGCAGTTAAATATTATTTTAGTCAAATTGAGCCATGCTGTGTAATAATTTTGAACTGTGCACATGTTGTCAGGTGTTCAGCATGTTCCTGGAGACCCTAGTGGACTTCGTCACAGTACACAGGGAGGACCTGCAGGACTGGCTTTTTGTCCTGCTCACCCAGCTGCTGAAAAAGATGGGGGCAGACCTGCTAGGCTCAGTCCAGGCCAAAGTCCAGAAGGCCCTGGATATCACGAGGTCTGAAACACAAGCCAGGCACCACGGTTACATTTGGAGAGATAGGCCTCTTTAGATTTCTGTCTTTGAGTTTCCCATAAGTAATGTTTCTTTTCTAGTTTACTCTGTCACAGTTTGTGTTGTGATCTCAATTAGTGGTCAACTAGTGTATATCTTTGAGCTGGTTGGTACTCAAAATCAATCTCATAAACTAAAGCTTGTTCGATAATGTATGAGATAAACCGTCTAATACTAAGCAAAAAGTGAACCTCTCATTTCTTATCTTCAGGGAGTCCTTCCCATTTGACCAACAGTTCAACATTCTGATGAGATTTATCGTCGATCAGACTCAGACACCTAATCTCAAGGTAAAGTCAAATGAGAAAGACTGTGATTGTATTTACAGCCAAGATGATTTAGATTGGTTAGTGTGATTAATACAACTTTAGTGAGACATGTGACCAAATGTTTGTTGTCTCTTTAGGTTAAGGTGGCCATTTTGAAGTACATTGAGTCCCTGGCTCGGCAGATGGACCCCACAGACTTTGTCAACTCCAGCGAGACACGCCTGGCCGTATCTCGCATCATCACCTGGACCACTGAACCCAAAAGTTCCGATGTCAGGAAGGTATGGCCATGGTTTTCATCCTGACAATGGGAAAAGTCTTTGCTTAGACAAAACCTAAACATGAAGTTTCCTCTAGAATGATCTTTTTTCTATCCTTCTTCACTGCCTTTTTAAAATTCATATTCATTCTTATTTTCAATAGGACGTATCTATCACTACATGATTTAACTTTTTAATCTTAATCATTGGAGTGATTAGAGAATATTAACTATTATTTTAGTATTTGGTCAAATAAGGTGTGATACAGGAAATAATGGTTAAATCCTATGGTCTAATGTCACAGTTCTAAACCACGGAAATTTAGGGTACACAATTAAATTCTCATGCTTCCAGGTTAATGAAGAGAGGGCACATTAGCTCTCACATTACAAAGACATCTTGTCTTTTAGGTTCTTTTGTTTAGCCTCAAGTGGGTAAGCAAACTTGCTAACAGCTTAGAGACTTGTTTAGTATGACTTTCATGAATTGGTATGAAATTAGATTAAACTGTTAATTGATTTTAGAATATTTATCTGCAGAACAAATCCATCATTCCTAAAACATAAATGTTTGCTTGGCAACCAATCAGAGGACACACTCAACAGCCAGTGGCATCTTGTATACCGCCACAGTTTTTTTCATTTGTAGTCTTCAGCCTGTAGTGTTTGTTTAGCAGCAGTTAATAGGACACTCTCTGTGTGACTAGCCTTGGATCAATGGCCCGTTATCTTCCACTTGTCTGACCCGCGTCATGTTAGCCGTCTGTGTCCCTTATTTTGTTTGTCCGCTGCTGTTCTTCTAAATGAAAATCCTCACCTAGTTTTAGGGCCTCACCTCTAGGCAAGCTGAACAAATATCTAGGATGGAACAGTTGAAAGATCAGCTGAGTATTGCATCCATATGTGATGGCGGAGGACCTGTGTCATGCTGTAATGCCCATTCTGCCTTGCCAATCTGCCCAGACCCTTCAAAACTGGGTGAGCGAGGAGCTAGCTGGCAGGTCCAGTACTGCAGCCTTACTGTCCGCTGAGGGCAACCAGGAAGAAAGGTGTAAGCAGGTAGAGCCCGCTCCCGCAGCCAATCACAACACGACACGATAAGCACGCAATGCCCCGCCTGCCTGGTGCCTAACCAACACCTTCAACACCGTGAAAACTTGAGTGTGGCATCTCTCACTCACCTCAAACATTTACACTCCAGCTATTTTGCTGTAACAACCTAAAAATCATTCTGTGCTTTGCAAATTGATCACTCACCAAATAAATTTTTTTTTACAGGAAATGCTTGTTGCTTTGTATGAATGGACTTTTAAGCCAATTTAATTGCTCAACATTGAAGTGAATGCTGTTTAGTTACTACTGTGTGCCTAACACATTTTGTTTGTCTGACTCACCTTAACAGCCTCTCATCCACCTGCATACCTGCATGTTGTTAACATTTTATTTTTGTAAAAAGAGAGAGTCAAAATACATATTAAAAGTAAAGTGTTTGTGTTATATCTGTATGTAAAATGGCAAGTAGCAGTATTCAGAAGCTTTACATAATTCTTTTGCTTTTGTCAAAAGCAACATACAATGAGTGTGCTCAAGCCTGATAGGAACAAGTGCTAGATGTCATTACAAAGTGCTGAGAGTTCGATCTTTCCACAAATTAAGCACTTTTCAATCTCCCCTAATTATACACACTCAGTGGCCACATTATTAGGTACATGTGTACAGTCTAATGCAATCCAATGCAACTTTTCTGCCATAAAGTCTACTTTTATGATGTAACATTGAGATGTTAATTCCATTATATGTTTGAGCGCTGAGGTCCGAGTTATTGTTAGTGTTGTACTTAACAACTGTTCTACTGCATTATATTCAGAGGTTTCTAATATTATGCCCCCCTAATGTATGTAAATGTAAGGACACAAAATTAGAAACACCTTTTCAGTATAATGTAGAAACTTTATGAATTCATGGCAATGTTGTTGTATTGAATTGTAATTGATTGTACAGGTGTAGCTAATAAAGCGGCCACTGAGTGTATATACTGTTACATGTTTCATCCCACTTGAGTTTGCTAGCCTGATGTACAGAATATAATAATATAATATATATTATAATATAATAATATAATCAGTTCAGTATATAACCCAATAATTTTTCAGTCATATCTCAGCCTAACCTGAACACTCAGACATCGATTAATCCACTCAGCAAACACTTCAGATTTTGCCTCATAATAATCACATATTAGATTTTTCTCTGTATCAAAAGAAATCATGGTGATTCTTGTCTGGACTTCCATGTTTACAGCAATCAGGAACTGCTGGTAGCTAATAAAGCATGACGTGATTCACGGTGCAGCTTCACCAAAATACATATATAAGCTAAATCCCAAAGCTAACTCACTGACACATTGCAACGGTATACTTAACATTTACATTACCGAAGCATGACGGAAAAGAGAAGGGAAAACAACAGGAGTGACAATAACCAATGTTTTATTCATTCTTTTGGTGGCATATAGTGACAGTGACATCTACCTGTAAAAATAGATTTTTTTTATTTATTAACCCACAAAAATGTGATGGTTGTCCCTCAAATATCTGCTAGAGTAAAAAGACCTTTTCGTTTCTGTCTTCATACAGTATACTGTCTTCTGATGAACCAGAGATCTTCTATTCCACAGCAACCATAGCAAACAAGTACTTTCTACAGCCCCCCTCAAGTTTGATCTGCATTCACTTGCATGTTGCAACACTGATAGAGCCTGAGTCATATGTCCTTGATAGTTGTATACTTCTTTAGTTTTCCGCTGACTGCAACGTTGAACACTCACCTTTTAACAATTTCTTTCTACAGGCTAATGTACACGTTAGTCCACCAAGAAGTGAACTGTGGAGCTGAAAAGCTGGTTTCCGTGGTTTTAGACTTTTATTGACCTTTATTAACGTTAGCCTTTGCATTGGATTGGTCCTCTGTGGTTTTACAGATGCTGACCATGTGGAAAATTGTCAAATGCTACAGCAATTCAGTCACAACCTGGATTATCTGAGCTTTATATATAAAAATGTCATAATGGCTTCTCTGACTCACTCTGGTGAAACTGCTGTTAGAAACGCATGGTCAAGGTATTTCTGGAACCAAGGAAACCATCTGAACGTTTTCTAATGCATTGTGTCCTCCATCCTAACCTGTTGTACTACACTGCCTCCAGGCGGCCCAGGTGGTGCTGATCGCTTTGTTTGAGCTCAACACCCCAGAGTTCACCATGCTGCTGGGAGCGCTGCCCAAAACCTTCCAAGACGGAGCCACCAAACTGCTGCACAACCACCTGAAGAACTCCAGCAACACCAGCAGCAGTGTGGTAAGTCAAATGAAACACTGTAGTATTTCAAATCACTCATACTGGGAACCTGACCCAGGCTCACCTGAGTACCTGTAAGGGGCCTAGGCTCGTCAAGCAGCCTGCACCTCTTTTGCCTCTGTTACAGAACTTTACTACCTATTATCCAAAGAAAAATCAACTGGACTTGTTTAAAAATACTAGAAGATGTTTCAGCTCATCCAAGAGACTTCTTTACTTCTGAACTGAAGAAGTCTGTGAAGGTTCTCGGTCATCCAGGTCATAGTTATCCAAGAAAGGTTTAAATCAAGGGCAACCGGACTTGGTTAAAGATACTTAAAGACGTTTTAACCTGTTATTGTTTATTGTTCTATTGCTTTGAGGACCACATCCTATGAGCTATATTGTGAGTACTAGCAAGTACTAGTAATAACTGCTTTAGATTGGCTGGACCATTGGTCAGAAACCCCACAATCTTGAAGTGTTTCTTACCGTTGTTACCTTATGTAGCTGTGTTTAAACTCACTCTGTAGCAGCTCACCTTTCCTCGGGCTTGTTGCCTTTTAGCCTGAATAGTAGTTTCCGGTTATATACTGCCCTACGTGTGTGGATTCAGGACTAAAGTATAATATGACTTTAGGTTATTGTCTACTGTTTTGGCAAAGGTCATTCTCTGTTCATTTTGACAGGATGGCCCCGCCCCTAGTTTTTTTACCTAGCCTGCTAGAGTTCACGAATTTACCTTTGAGTGGCTGGATACCGCCTGCTTCAGAGGGTTGTTTATTAATCCGTATAAGAATAAGGAGGAGGAGATGGGTATATATAAGAAAACATCCTTTATTCAGTTCTCAACAAAGGGTACAGATGATACAGTGGTTGTACAATTCCTGTTAAGGGACAAAGTTATATGTTAGTTACTGTATATGGTATAAAAGTTATGGTATAGTTATTCCTGCAAATCCAGTCTTGTAAGCCTCGGTGAGAACTAGAAGGTCTCTGAAGTGGTAACATCTTCTAAATTTCTACCTTCATATATACTAGGCAGTAAGAGTAGAGTTTTCATGGCCCTATTTGTGCTTCCTCTTCCCTCCCTTTCTTCGAGAGGCAACGTTCAGTTCTACAGAAGACCAGCTCAGACGAAAAATTGTGTATCAACCTCAAAGGAGACCATACAGTAGTAACGACAAAGCTAGATGCTCGTAGATCAGTAGGACCATCAGACAGCAGCGTTGCGACATTTATATTTCTTTATTGTTTCCTTGCCTTCCAGGGGTCTCCGAGCAACACCATTGGCCGGACGCCGTCGCGCCACACCCCCAGCAGAACCAGCCCCCTCACCTCTCCCACAAACTGTTCCCACGGAGGACTGTCTCCAAGGTAGCCAATCACCGATCTGTTATTAAACAGTTACCTACAACACACCGCACCTCCTGTCATACTGCATGGCCGTGGTTTAATCACATGGATACTGCTGCTAACTGACTAACAAACTAACGCGGAACCTAGGAGGCGGGTTGGTAGGAGCATCACACTGAGTGAGTTGCTCAGAGAGGTTACAACACATCCTTTCTCCAAGCATTTTTGGTAGAAATAAAGAAGCCAAAAGTTTTTCGCAACAGATCAAATACAACCCACAAAACACATTTTACCCACAACTGATAACATTTTTACTACCTTAATAAAACATTTGATAACCAGACTATTTGATGTTGTCATACAAGGCTGTTAATATACAGTAGACAACAGGGGAGGTCCATGCACCTTTTTGTCTCCTGTGTCAGCGTAATGTGGACCCCTGACTTATAATTACGCTTCCCTCAATATAGTGTGTTTCTCTCTGACAGCAGCTCACTCGCCTGATGCACTGGACAGTCATTTTATCTGCCACCCAAACACATATTGTATCTTCTGGTTGTAATGACCTTAGTTGAACTTAAAGTACACTTCATATTGAGCTAAAACATGTGGAAAATGGCCCCTCACTCATGACAATTCTTATTTTATGTAAAGCTGACTTAGTGGGATTCCACTACTTTCCAATGCTCTCCTCTGAATTAACACTTTCCTATAACCTTAAAGCTCAGACTAGTTTCTGTTTGTCTTTTCTCTTTCTCTCTCTGCACACTTGTTGTTTTCCTCTTCCTCCTCCCCTCCTCTTGTTGATTTCCATCCGCCTCGCCTCGCTCTCTCACTCCTGTCTGTCCATCCTTCCCTCCCGGCTGCGCTGTGGCAACAGTCGGTTGTGGGGTTGGGGTGTCGACGGACTGTCAAAGCACACCCCTAGCCCTCCTCCTCCTCCTCCGCCCCACTCCACCCCTGCTGCCCCCTCCCTAAGGGTCCTGCGCAGAGCATATTCACCCAGGTAAAGAGGCGGGCTGAGACACAAAGGAGATTATTCCCTGAAGGAAGCCAGACCCTGATCCTTCTAAGTTGACAGTATCGGATAGTTTTCATGTGTGTCAGTTTCTCACAGAATGCATATTACTCCATCATCTCTAATCAAATGAAAAAAAAATGTATCAATTAAATTTACATTGCTTCAAAGGATGAGCTGATGTGGTGTGTGTCCAATTCAAAATAGACAATGAAACGACAGTTTACATACACCTGGCCTTTCCCTTTCTAAAACCTAATCTAACCTGGCCAACACTTTGCATGGTGGCAACACTAATACATGCTTGTGTTTCTTCTCCAGATATGCTTGTCATGTAAATTGTGTGTATATTTCTTTCTGTGTTTGTGTGTCTGGTAGCATGATGGAGTATGACACCGAGAACATGAACTCGGAAGAGATCTACAGCTCGCTGCGCGGTGTCACCGAAGCCATCCAGAGCTTCAGCTACCGGAGCCAGGAGGACCTGAATGAGCCAATCAGACAGGAGGGCAAGAGGGATGATGCAGTATGTCGTAACATTTGCAACTTCTTCAGTTGTCTCTCAACTGAAGAATAGGCTTGCTATAATCATTCCTGCTGTTCATACTTGTCATTACCAGATCCTTTTATAATGTGCTTTCAATGTAAGTGATCATCATTAAAAACAGTGGCATTAATCCTGTCTCATATCTTCCCACCTACCCTTCTGTCTGACAGGCAGGACGAGAAGGCGTGTCGTCCTCTACTGGCTCTGACGCCCGCCTGGGCTTAGACATGGTGGAAGGGGGCCGCACCGCCTTAGACAACAAGACGTCACTACTCAACACGCCATCACCTCGCTCGTTCTCTGGGCCACGGGGCCGCGAGTTCGCTCCTTATGGCTACGGAGAAACAATCTGCACATATGACAAGAGCGCCCTGAAGGAGGCTGTCTTTGACGATGACGTGGAGCAGTTCCGAGACTGTGAGTTCATACCACCGGCGATGTAATTATCGCAGCAGACAGAAATCATACAACATAAAGCACGTACCTTGTGAGTTTTGGAAGTGTTCTCATTCTGGAACAAAGTAGTTTTAATCCCCTGCTTGATTTTAAAGTATTGTCCCTTGCATATTATGTCACTGACGTATATTTCACACATGCACAGAATGTGCTGCAACCATCTTGCATACACTTATCAAACTGTGGCTTCAATAGACACTCTTAAAGGCATTTTCTCAATTCACTTACAGCTGAGGTGCTCTGATACAGACAACTAAAACGTTTTGTTCTCTTTATTCAGTGTCTTACAGTATATGCTTACTCCTGAGGGTCACAGTGTTTTGTGATTTCGAGCTTAAGTGAAGAAAATCTGAGATAATTTTTTGTAGTTTTGAAGAAACTGACATTTTCATTGTTGTTGTTTGCTTACTTTCTTAGTTCTGGTCAAAAATGTAAAAAGAGTGTCACGGGACAAGGACAAGTTGTGTCCACAAGCTTTCAGTCTTGACTTTTCCCTTATCATTCTGCATCCATCATTCCCCCATTGTGTAATGTTCTGTATCATATCATTTTGACAACATAAATGAAGACACCTTACAAGGCTACCTCTGTTAAGTGGTGTTGACACCTCACCCACGATTGTGGCAATGATTTTTTGTTTTAGATTTGACTCTTGACTTGGTTAGTTGGCTGAACATTACATTTCTACAAGATGACAGAAGAAATAGTGCAAGGAGGTGAACCTTTCTCTGCATTATGTTTACCACAAACTCAGGTGTGAGTCTGCAGCTCCTCCACAAGCCAGTCTGTGCGTCAGTTGTTGTTGCCGTCATCACATCCTTTGCTCTGCACCCTCCTGTCTCCCCTCTGTCCCTCACCTCTCCACCTCCATCCCTCCTCCACCCCCTCCTCTCCAGGCCGGCGTCAGGAAAGTGGTGAAAACAAGATGATGTTCCCCAAGGTCTTTGCTCCTGGTAAAGGTGCCTCCCCTGCCTGGCTGTTTTGCTGGCTGTCTTAGAAACTGACCGACAGACTTGATGACTGAACAACTGAGTGACCGACTATTTACTGACTGCAGCTTCACTCAACTCACTCTTTGTGCATTATACACTCAGTTCTCTCAATTCCATCACCATTTATCATGGTGTTCAAATTCTTTTAACTCCACCTACTACCCGTGTGTTCACTAAGTCCAACCTGTCCTGCTTTTTCTGCAGAACTAGCTGGTGCCTTGATGCTTTTACTAACAGTTGTGGCATTCTCTGTGATTAACTGAATCTTTGCGTGGTTGTGTTAGTATGTCTAATACATCTTTAGAGATTCTTCTCAACAACTGAATATCTAGACACCTGCAGCTCCAGAACAGTATACATGAAATTAGCTTAATTACACTAACAACTACAGCAATTTAATAATCTATATAATATAACACATAGACATTATGTCAACTTGACATGGACAACCATTGACAAAATAAATATATAACATCTAGGGATCGATCCCTATAGGCAGCGATCAGCTGATTTTACTCACAGAGCCTCTGGCTTCAGCTGCGGCTGCTTCAGGTGTAGTTGGTTTGATTGGCGGGATTTGCAGCCTCTCTATTCCTCTGCTTGCTTCTTTAGACTTTTCAGTGTTCTTTAGGGACTTGTTTAATCAAAAGTTAGTTAGTCTTTCCTCATATACTACTACCTGTGAGAATGAACTAACTGGATGCGGAGCGATCTGATACAATTTCCAAATGTTTTTATGTAACAGATATTTGAAACAAGAAAAAAATAAAATAGATAACCTTGCTTGTCCATAACAACAATAAAAATAATAATAGCTATTAATCAACTACTATGGCTTCTACAGGTGGGATTTTATTCAGGGTATCAAATGAAGTACTGGTATCAGTATCACTTTAAGGGTACTGGTTTTGGTACTAGTATCATAAAATTTTAAATGATACCCAACCCTAATAACATCACATGTTAGAATTAAGTTGCACAGCCATTCACTGTATAGACAAACTTAAATTTTTTATGTTCAAAACCATAGGCTTTTCAAGCCATTTAAAATGTGAGGTCATTTTTTGTCCTGTAGAGCTATGACTTTAGGCTGTCATTGCATGGCCAGCTTTAAACTTTGATGTGCATTGAGAGACGTGTTCCTCATACAGAATGCACTACGCTGTCCATCTGTGCATCTTGACATCATGTCACTTTATGTTCAGCCTTAAAATTGCAACTTCCTCTAAACAAGTAAAAACGTGTATATTGAAATTACAATCCATTTTGTCGTGACAGACAGAATATGAGATATGACTTTACTTGAAAATATATTTGCATTGGAAACCAATTTTCCCGAAGCATAGGAAGTTTTTTTTCTAGTCTTGAAACAATTGAAGATGAAATGACTGATGGATGACGCTAAGATTGGATCATTTTTTGGCCATGGCAACATGTCAGTAGCTGTATTTGTGATGCACAATATGATGTGTAACTTTTATTTCTCATCCTCTCTTGGCGAGCAGTCGGCCATGACCACTCAGACCTGGTGGCCGACCTGCTTAAGGAACTGTCCAATCACAACGAGCGTTCTGAGGAGCGTAAAGTCGCCCTGGTGGAGCTGCTGAAGATCACACGTGAAGACAGCCTGTCTGTGTGGGATGAACACTTTAAAACCATTCTCCTCCTCCTGCTGGAGACCCTGGGTGATAAAGACGTACGTTCTGTGATGGCTCTACATGTGACTCAGAGCGAGTGTGCTTCTGTAGAGGTTTGCTGATTATAGTACAATAAAACTGTTAATGTTTGTGTGTGGAGGATGTTGATTCCCTCTGAGCTTAACAGGCACCAGTGGGAATCACACTCCTGAGTGTATGTAAGGTAGGTATGTTTAATTCAGTTTCAATTCAATTCCAACAGCACAACAACAGCAAAGGTGGTAGTGGTGCAGATATCAATAAATATGAATAATAGTACTAATAATGACAATTATTAATGTGAATAATAGTAGGATAATAATAATAATTGTAGCAGTGAGGGAGAGGAGGAGGGAGGAGCTCAGTACATCATGGGAGGCAGCCTAGGCCCATAGCAGCATATCTGAGGGATGGTTCAGGGTTGTGTGGATATTCAGCAAGTATTCAAGAATGAAATAGCAGGATATCTCTACCTTTAAGTGATTGTCCGCTGTTTCCCCCAGCACACCATCCGTGCCATGGCCCTGCGTGTGCTGAAAGAAATTCTGAGGAACCAGCCGGCCCGCTTCAAAAACTACGCTGAGCTAACCATCATGAAGACCCTGGAGGCTCATAAAGACTCTCACAAGGAGGTACACAGCTCCCATATTAAAACTGCAGAATACATATGGGGGGGGTTTGCAGATCAAGCTTAAAATACACAGTTTAGATAGATAGTTAGATAATGTGTTAAGAAACTGTTGCCTATTTATACATCCAGCAGATACGGAGGGACAGTATTTATTTGGAGTTGTGTTTGTGTCCACCGGGAGGCTAAACAGCTGCAGAGTTTGTGTTGTGTTCATAAGATACAAGCTAAGTTACTACAAATAGTAAAAACATGGTCTCTAAAACAGCCTCTCTGGGTAGCGACTGTAACTATTACAAGTGCCCCAGGAACAGCTTTTGACCATAACTTAGAAAAACTTTATTTTATATTGATTTATTATATTCAATCAAGTGGATTTGTCACATGAAATAATTTAAGATGCATTCACAGTGAAATTTTATATTATTGATCTTAATTGCGTTGATGTGCTTTTAGGTGGTGCGTGCAGCCGAGGAGGCGGCGTCCACCCTGGCCGGCTCCATCCACCCAGAGCAGTGCATCAAGGTGCTGTGCCCTATTGTGCAGACAGCTGACTACCCCATAAACCTGGCTGCCATCAAGATGCAAACCAAAGTCATTGAACGCATCGCCAAGGACTCCTTACTGCAGCTGCTGCCCGACATCATTCCTGGACTCCTGCAGGTCTGCGCCCGAGGATTAAACGTTACATGCTGCAGTTCAGACACTGCAAGAGTTTCATAGAAATATAGATTTGGACTGCTGCATTTTATTCTATTAGTTACTCAAAAAACCTGAAATTGTTTTATTCTTTAGTTCTGACTGAACACTCACAGTCTCAGAATCTGATCAAACTTGCGAAAGTGTACTAATTTATTATTAGATAACAGAATTGCAGTGGTTTTTGGAGAAGACACAGCAGAGACATCTTTGTCAGCTCTAAAAGGCATATTTGGACACTGGGAATTATTTGCCTTATTTGTCCCTGGAAATGTTTGCGTGTACTCTGCACTCTTTGTGACTCTTCACATGTTCCTGCTAACCGTGTGTGTGTGTGTGTGTGTGTGTATGTGTGTGTGTGTATGTGTGTGTGTATGCGTGATGCGTGATGCTGTCTTGTCTCTCTGCAGGGCTATGACAACACAGAGAGCAGTGTTCGCAAGGCTAGCGTGTTCTGTCTGGTGGCTATCTACTCTGTAATTGGCGAGGACCTGAAACCTCACCTGGCACAGCTAACAGGCAGCAAGGTACTGACTGTCACACACACACACACCCACAGTTACCAAAACCTCTTCAACAGATGCAGAGCCTTATCATCTTCCCATGTTGTTATTTCTCAGCAGGCTTCAAGCGTGTGTCCAGTTCTAAAGCACAGGGTCATATTTGCCCTACTTTCTCTACATGTGTCCTTGGGTTGAGGTCTGAGGGTCAGTTTCTCCTGAATGGAGGGACCCTCCCCAACCCACCCCCACCCTCCAACTACTATCTCTTGAACAGCTGGTTATTTGAAAGGAGTTTGATACGTGCAGTATTGACGAGTGTGGCCGAGTAAGCACTGTCGCATTCAAGTTGTACTTTGAGTTGTAGTCTTAGTGCAAACAAAAGTTTAGACTCGACCCAAACCACTTTTGTTGTGATATCCAGATCGGATGTAGAGGCATATTCTTCAGGAGTATCCAGCTGAATATGGTCATGAAATTGAAAATGAGTTGGATTTTTGTATTCAATGCTTATTCGTCCAAAGCCCACATCAAGGCATTATAAAATATACTAATATAATGTTGCCAATATTAGTGAAAAGTATATTTTGATTGAATGATACAGGAATTTAAATTTCAGTGTTTCCCTTTGACCTCTTCTGCACATCTAATAACATCAGCTGTGAGATCATTTAATGTTCAGCATCATTTGGAAGAATTTCAAGAATTGTTGCACATCACAGCGGTATCGTCTTTCCTTTCACAAGAGATGGTCCTCTGTTCTCTAACCTATTGGGAAAAGCATACAGCAGCCACTCTGATCAGTTAAGTCAGTAGGAGCCTTCATATTTTAAGAACATCCATGATGAGCCTCTGCTGAGCAAGAGCTATAGAAAGTGTGTGGATCATGGCTAAAATCTCTGATGCTGCAGGAGTTCCAGCAAATTATTAGCATGCAGTGTTCAAGGTATCCTTAGTCATTAAATAAAATATTCCCAAAGTAAGCAGTTTATCATTACTGTAAGTAAGTACATTGACTTTGACCTGTGTCTTCCTTTTTACTATTGGTACCTTGTTGGTGATCTAAAATTCAAGACTTATGCTTATTCAGATCTTAGAAATGTGAGATAAAATAGATCTATTTTTGAGAAACTGTATAAATGTTATAACACAATGAATGCCAGGCTTTTCTATTCTGGTTATAATTGACAACTAATTGGTAACAAAAACCAGTATTGCCAGTATGGCTCCCAAACATTTTCTTTTATGACACTTTAATGGAATGCAATGTCTGCTCGCAAACTCTCAGATGCATATGTCCATTTTAACCAAAGACTGATATTTTCTCTTTCCCTGAAGAAGTAGATTTAATTGGGAAAAAATCTAAGACCTAAAGTCTGAAAGAATTAGCATCATTTTTGTAGAGATGTTTGTTCTCCTTTCCTCTCCTGTAAATTATCTCATGACCCCTCAGATTTCTCCTGTGAGCCCTTGTGTGGGCCACTGAGCTACATGATGGTGTACAAATAGGTGAATACACAAAAAAAATATGAAGAAAAAAGTTTTAAATCAAACAAAGGATGAGTCTTGAACTGCTCACAACTCATAGATGCATACAATCCTGGTCTCAAGTACCCATAGTGTTGCTTTAAACATATCTTTAGCCAAAATGTTGGGTGAAAGTGAATGTTTTGCTTTCCATCCTCCAGTTTGACACAACACGTTCCAGAAGTCCTGCTTCTTCAGAGAACTTCTTAAAGAACCCTAACTAACAAGACCTTAAAGAATGTCCCATGTGATACTACTACTCACCATATGCAATCACACTTTGCTGAAGGAAATATGAATATCTCCTGTCTTTTCTTGTTTGCAGATGAAGTTACTGAACCTGTACATCAAGCGGGCCCAGACGACCAACAGCAATAGCAGCAGTTCCTCAGACGTCTCCTCTCACAGCTAATGGAGGGAGGTTTCATTTGGAAACCCTGTGGACGAACGGCGTTCCAGGATTTCCAGGGCATAGACACGCTTCTTTCTGACTTCACCATCTCTGAGCTTCCCCTCCTCCTCATCAGAACTCGAGCTTTGCTGCGTTTTTCTCCTGTGTCGAGGAGATCCTCTCAGCAACCTATTTGTCGTTTAGTTCCTCCTCCCTACCTTTGCTCCAGAAACTTTTGAATGTAACTGTGGGTTGGTTTTAGACTGGTGGGGAGGGACTCAACACATTTGGAGTTTTTGGATCTAGGAATGCACCTTCTCTTCCTCCACAGTTCCCACAACCCCCACACCGCCTTTTGTCAATGGAAGCATGTTTCTCCTTGAGCCCACATTTGGTAGAATAAGGAGTTCATGCATGATGCCGTGAAATATTCATCATCAGATTGGAGGAAATGTTATCGTGCAAGAGAAACTTCTGACAAAAAGACCACAGCTTGGGATGAAATGTCATTTGGCTGGCCCAGTGATGGTGATGAGTCCAGAGGTTTCGGGATGAAAAACCAAATATTCTTAGAAAAGCAGAAATGTTTATGGGAACAATGTGACATAAAAAAAGTACTGTATGAGCATCTTTAGATTACAGGCTGACAGAAGCCTGTACATCGATTGTATTCTTGTTTTAATTAGTTAATAAGTGACTTAATCAATTGAATGCCCCTTTCACAACTTAACATGTTGCCAAACGATTCCTTGTCAGCTCAGAATTGACAATCCTTCATATAATTGTGCACATCTTTATTTTAAGGTTCAGAAGATGACATCACAGCTGTCACAATTAAAGTTGTCTGAATTTGTCTGGAAATTCACAATCGCAGACAGCAGAAGTTGAGCCTATGAAAAGTTGCAGTATTTTCACACTGAACGTTCTGCATCAAGTTTGTGTTATGTTTTGTTCAACATGCTCTCACATGTGGTTGCCTATAGGTTGCTAGTTTGTTGCATCTTACCTGTGCATCTAATCTGTGAGGCTGCCGCTCAGTCCTGTGTGTGTTTGAAGAGGAAGTTCTTTATAAATACTGCAGATGTTTTCCCTGCTTGGAGGTGGAAGGGAGACCAGCGATCCAAGACAAGACGTTACCCGGCCTTATTCATTTTACACAGACTAATGTTTGTTGACTGGGACTGCGGAGAGTGAATGAGACGTACAGCACTGAAACTCTCGGCTCTCAAAAACTGTGAATCTGCAGGAAAAGTGACGGCAGCGTTCTTGACCTGTGTTGATGCAAAGACAGTATTAGTTGTGTCCTCTGAGCTCCTTCAGTTCGCCTCCACATAACCACAGTTTCTGCAATAACCGTAAATCCACAATTAAAGGTATTTTGTACATATACTTTTTGACCACTGCTTCGCAAAGTTTTCACAATATCTGGAAATAAGTAAAGTGAACAGTTTGACTATCTCACTTTTTTGCACGTTAGCAAAATAGCTTGCATGTAACCTGCAGCACGTGTCAACTTTGTGCTGGATTGAATGGCCCAGGTGTTTGGCTGTTAAGTGCACTTGAACCATCATCAGATTACTCATCTCCAAAGTTTCAGTACAGGATGTAGTCACATTAACCAGGCTCATATGGAAAAGGTACAAAATGGTGCAACAGCTCCAACTTCGCAAAACCAAAACCATGTCTTTGGTATATTTAAGATGGTAGAAATATCCAGGCAAGGTATCAAGAAATCACACCTCTGGTGGTTATTTATTTCAGTGTTACGTTTGAGGTATCAAGAAGCTTTAAAAGGTTGGATTTCTGAAATGAGATGGCTCTTTGAGTTTGACGGGTTCCCAAAGTTTACCCCATGGATCTCTATTTGGGAAGAGTTTTCCCCATCTGATCAGATTTTTATTATTTGAGATGATTTAGTTTATCATGGTACAGTTAACTTATTGTAGGAAGGGATCAGAAATGATTATGCCTTTTAATTTCTGCTATCACCTTCGCTAACTTCTAGCAAATGAATCATAATAATAAGGAAAAGTATTTCTGACTTCACCTGGGGACAACCTGAGTCCTTGAATGGACAATTTGGGGCTCACTGTTTTAGTTGACTGGTGTTTTCATTTAGGGAATCCACTGAGAGTGGGCCGATTGTTATTTAAGTAAATGAATGTACAGACTTTACATGTGTTATAATTAGCTTTTTAAGTAATGGTACTGAAACTGATTTGAGCGACACTCTGTAATATGCCTGTCTGCACTATACCTTACTTTGCTTTCTCTGGAATTCTTAAAACCATTAATCAGCTTAGGGTTTTTTTTAACAGGGCTTCTCCCAATTAAAGCAAATCCATACGGGAAAATTTCACCAGTCGGAAAACTACTGGTTGCTAGCATCTGTTATCACAATACTGGTCCTAGAAACAGACAAGATGTTCCTTTCAAACTGTTCACTATGCATGTTCTACAGTACACTGTCTTTCTTTTGTTCCAACCGGTCATGTAATATTCATACCTGTATTTATGTATTTTATTTTATTTGTCCTCTCATGATAAACTGTACAGAAGGGTTTTTTGTTAACTTCCACCTGTGATAGATTTGCAACCATGTAAAGAAATTGTTTTGCTCTAGAAATAAACAGACTAAGAACCGATCTAAATGTTTTTGTTATTCATCCCAGATTTCACATAACAAGTTTTTAATGTTGCGCAACATTTTAAAAGCCAGTCTTCTCTGTTTTCTTCCCTCTGCAGGTTGAACCTTGTTCTGTGACTTCCACAGGGGTGCTGGCAGCAGTATTGCACAGTTGTCCATCCATTTACGACCACGTGCATTCAGACGCTGAGGCGTGCTTAGCCGCTCTGTATAAACATTAACCTGAGCGGGCTTTCAGATGACCTGCTCCTAATCTCTGGTCCTGGTTGAGGAGCTCTGAAGAGACGAGACAGCAGCTGCAGGGGTTTGTATTCAACCTGTTGTCCTCAATTTTCTTCCTAACACACGAAATTAAAACTACATTTTGGGGTTGAGCTCACTGGCGTAAAGCGATTTAGCCAATAATGCATTTTATTTTGCATCCACAGCATACTACTATGTACTAATACTAATAGTATTACTGTTATATGTTTGTGTGATATTAGCAACCATAAAAGGTAAAACTACTTTTCTGCTGTTGATTTTTGGAATTCCAAATAACTCCGCTACCACAATGCTCTTCTATGGCTGTTCTCATTATCATAACAAAGACATAGAAGATAACTGTATTTACTCCCACTCATTAAGGCTTCTTGGCCTTCTCTGTTGCCCTAAACCAGCAGCTGTTTTCATGTTTGTTTTCCAAAATGTACCCCAAAACATCATTACCCTAAGTGAGATTAAAGTCTGGCTTTAGGGCCATACTGTTGGCAGTGTCAACAACTGGGCAAGTGGAGCTGCTTTTAATGCATCAACCCAGCTAGACATTGGTGGTGGGAGGTGTGCCTACACACTCCGCCTCTCAAAGGTCATCCAAGGTATGCCAATGGCAGTCCTGATGACATCACTGGGACCATATAAGAGGCAGGCAATGAGGTCTGGGTGCAAACCTCTCTTAGCTGAAACCTGAGGGAAGGCACAAAGCAAGCACCGTCTGTCTCCAAGTCTTCCCTGTGGTCCCGGGATTCAAGAAGACACCGCACTGGAAAATATGCTGTTCTGCCATTCCCAGCCTGAGTCCTACCACCAGCACCCTGCTAGTTACATTAGGTAAACCACAAGCCATATTGAGAAGCTTCAGAAACTTGAGGATTTCATGCATTATATCTACAACAGGTTAAATCAAAGTGACAGCGCAAAGCAGTGATGTTTTCTTTACTTGCACAAGAACATGTGGAGAGAAGTAATGCTTATATGTGTAAAATTATTTTATAAATGTGCATATTTGCAGTCATTCTGCCTCCAGAATCACATTTAAGTATTTTAGTATTCACATTTAATTGCAATGTGAAATTCAAATTTTAAAACGCATATCAATGATTCATTTTAAAGATGCACTGCATTCAAAATCCACATTTAGACTACAGATCATATAGACTCCTTTTTTCACCTTTTAAAACTAATACATACTTAAAATGAAATGAACGAGACGAGTAACATTGTATTTTGTAAGATTGACCTCTTGCACCTTTGTTCCTATGATTAAATGATTAGATAATAGGCAAAACAGGACAATCGCCATACTCAGCCCCTCTTCTTTCCTTCTGGTCTCTTACAGAGAGGCCTTGGCACCTTTCTTGAAAAACGAAGAAACAAGGGTTATGGCTGAAAATGGTGCAAAGAGGACCCCATTTCAGTACATTCTATGTGCAGCCACCTCACCGGCTGTGAAACAGCAGGAGGAGAGTCTCACTTATCTCAACCAAGGTAGCTATCTGTCCTGCTAGTTGAATGTCCACAGTGACTAAATGGACTCACTGGAGCGCATTTTGACACATGCAATCCTAGCAGCAGCAGGGTTAGATCAATGCTGTTAGGCTAAATCTTGGTAGATTAAGCCATGTTCACATGAATTAATTTAAATGTACACCCCTCCAGTTTGGAACCCTGCAACTCAACACGCCTGTCTCTCAAAGCCAAAAACTGTGTGCAGAGTCATCAAGATAACAAATACAAAAGGCAGTTTAATTGCCACCTAAGCCTTATTCTCCAACAGAATAATAATTTAAGTTACTGTAGAGATTCCCTTTGCTAATGCTCTTACAGTCACAGCTCTGTATTTTAAGTTTTGATGACATCAGAACTTCAAGTCTAAATTGTCTGGGTCTATGGAAGCACATAAATGCCATAATAATTATAAGCTTTATAAGCAACTGTATACCTAATTGAGAAATTTGACTAGGGCTGCAACTAACTACTATTGTCACATGTTAATTGTCAGTTAATCTACTGATTGTTCACTTGATTAATCATTTAGTTAGTGAAATGTAATAATATTTTAAAAAACTGGCGTTCACAATTTCTCCTAGGCTTATTTTAAGATTCACTGTCATATACGACAAAGAACAGCAAATTGTCATTATCACAACAGTTGCCAACTGACTTTTCTGTCAAAATGTAACCCCCTCTAAATACTTAATACTGAAATATATTTAATATTAAAAATTAAATTTATGACATTCAAATATTTTCCTTTGAAAACCTTCTATTTGCATTTATGTTGTTTGAATTCCCCTCTTTGAAGGTTGTTCCTCTTGGTGCTAAAACATTTTTTGGATTCACAAATTCAGGAAATTCCAGACAGATGGAAGTAAAAATGTTTAAAGTTATATATTGAGTGGTATTTAAATTTCAAGTATTAACAAGTGGTTACATTTTACAAGTAGGTATTCAGTTGCTCAAGCAACTATTCTGGCTTGTTTTTGCTTCCATAGATTTCTGTACGTAGTAGACAGTTGTTAATTATCACAGATATAGACTAGGCTGACCTGGAATATAAGAATGGGATATATTGTATACATATTTACATACACCCAAAAAGCTTTTGATTCGTTTGAATGACTAACTTAGTGAAATCACAGTAGTAGTAGTAGTAAGCTAGCAGTAAGTAGTAAGATTTTAAAGGCATTATTGATTGATTTATCTGTGCAACATGAGCTCCTAAATCTGTTAATTTGTCAGCCTTCTTTTCATCTTCTAATCTAATTTACCCTTCTTATTTTTATTTTTTTTGTCCTTTCTCCTTTCCAAATTGTACTCTACCCTTCTGCTTCACATCATTCTCTACCACTGAACCTTCTAATAGTTCCTGTCTCTTGTTGAACTTGTATTTGTACTTTATTTACCTTTATTTATCTACAAGTTTGTCCTACTTATCTGCTGTAAAATAATTTGGTTGGAGTGAAAACACATTGAAAGTGAGCTTGCTGTAACATGCAACTTTTGGCCAACAGTTACACTGCCATTTAAAGATGGCATGTATGGATTAGCAATGAATTGCATCAGGGTCCATAGCTTAGTTTTATTACCACACTGACAAAGGCCTGACAGTGGGTCCAGTAGTGTTCCTCACTGGCTGTTTTAATGATATCTTCATGTGATATTAAACTTAATGTATTATATTTGATCAAGATGGAGATATGGAAAAGTTTTCTTGTGGCTGGCCTTGATATCTGGCTTAAAAGGTTTCTAATTTGATTCAATTTCTATCTCCACCGCCTCTCTTTTCTGATTGACTGATTTCCCATTTTTCAATTTTAATCAGTTTTTTTTTTTTTTTTTTTTTTTTTAATGTTTTAAAATGTAGGTCAGTCCTACGAAATCCGTATGCTTAACAGAAAACTAGTGGAGTATACAGATATAAGCAGCAAATATGTAAAGGTAGGTGTAAGGTATTGTGTTTGTCTGTTTTTGACTTTGACGTGACCTCTTCCTCTTTCTTCTCTTCGCTGCTGCTTTTATGTATCCATTCCCTGATTTGTCACAGGTCCCCCAACTTCACTTCAGGAGTGGGGTCGACCTTGGAGAGCTTGGTACTATCACCCAAACTTACCTTTCTCCTTTCCTAGATGTCACATTAACCCCTTACAAACACACATCTCATCTTGCCTTCACAGTTTTACCACACACACACACACACACCCTCTTCATCAGAACATGCCAATCTGCTTTTGTCTGCATCACTGTGATTTTTGGACTTTGGGCATCTTTATGTTTGTTCTGGAGACGTTCTGTTTCTTTCTTTTAACTTTAAAAAGTGATATATTCCTGATAATGTGGCTTTTTTTGAGTAAAACCCATTAGCAGCCCATCATTTCTGTCATGGCAGGTTGTTGTGACACGCAAAAAGTCGAAAGTGACTCGACTTCAATATTGACGTTTGTCGAAAACCCCTAAGAGTAAGGAGAGGTCATTTATTTCATTTATGTGCGAATACATCCACTTGACATGTCTCTGTCGTCAGGCTGCCATTGCTTGAGAGCGTAATGTTAGCAGTAGCATCCGAGAAACACAAGAATGGGACAGGTGGCATCTTCTCAAACACATGACGTGCTGGGGCCAGGGCTTTTTGAGTTCTGGTGCTCAGTCATGTATGACCCTCCCTCCATAAAGATCCCAGTGGTACATGTTTTTAAAGGTTGTTAATTTAATTTCATGCCCTGGCAGGATTTTAAAAGGTTGCTGTGAAAGAGGTACTCCAGTGATTTAATATTGTGCTTCTGTGAAGTCAAGGGGGACTCACAAGAGACAGTTTAGAAAAGGGATGGTCAAGATATCCTAACTTTTAGTCCTTAAAGAGGGTCACTCCAAAAATACGGGATCCTACATTTCCCATAATGCATGCACTGGATAGTGTCCTTTATTAGACCCTCAATGCCTTCTAAATGCCTACTGTAAGGCAGGCTCTCTGTTATAGGTCTCCAGCCAAAACCAAGATAACCCTGGGGACATCATCAGGGCTATTTAAGAAAGTTCCTCCAGAGCCTCAGGCTGAGTAGTACTCTTTGTGACAGGTAAACTGAACTTTATGTGTAAAATTGGTGGAGTATCCCTTTCATGAAATTCTGACCATGAGCAGGGACAATATTATTTTTAAATTTTTTGTTTGATATAGTGACAAGATATATTATCAGACAACACAATGGATCAGGATGCCTGTAACAACAGTTACTGCTCTGC